AACACATCTTTATTAATTAAACATCGCAGAATTTCATCATAATAGTCAGACACCTTCTACAAACATGAGCACCAAACAAATACCATGGATTAAAATGTACGAAATAAGACAAACAGAAGTACACTTCTACATTGAACAAATTATTTCTCTATTTCTGAAACACCTGAAAGAATGAGAACACTGTTGTATATTGAAATAATATAATAATAATAACAATAATAATAATACTTATAACAATAACAATAATAATAATTATTATTATAATAACAGATAACATATTTTCAAATTATAGCGAATATCCCAACTGGAAAATAGGCTTTATACCCTTTATAAAAACTATAATATATTATTATAACCCATACTACTACTAATAATAATAACAGATAACATATTTCAATTCTATAGCTTATATCCAAACTGGAAATAGGCTTTACTAAAACTATACGTGTATGTATATTAATATTATTATAACCCATACTGATCCTATTACTACTATTACATATAATATGTTAAAAGTTTCTCATCCTCCTGGGTAAGCACTAAGAGAGCTGCCGTTTACAAGTGCTCAAACACCAACACACTGACAAGACCTCCCCCTGTTTAGGCAGGTATCCATTCTCACCTGAACGGGGTGAAGAAAATTACAAATTTGTGAAAAAAATGCCTTTCCCAAGGACACGTCCATCCCAGACGAAAATTCAAACCTGTGACCTTACAGTTGCATAACCACAAAACTTTTTAAAGTTTTAGTAAGAGTTTTACGGCACTTGCAACACAATAAGGTCATATAAGTGCCGAAGATAGGAAGTGTTACAAGAGAGTAACAAATACAAAAAAAGAAAAAGCAGGGGAGATAGAGAAGATAGATTTTTTAAAGGAAAGAAGGAGCAAACCACATCACAGCACCCGCCAACCACCCACATTCTCACCTGAGCGGGGGAGGGGGGGGGGGGGGGGGGGGGAAGAAAATTACAAATTTGTGAAAAATGCCTTTCCCAAGGACATGTCAATCCCAGACCAAAATTCAAACCTGTGATCTTACAGTTGCAAATCCTGCTGCATAACCACAAGACTACCTTGTCACAGTCAACAAGTAAGTTGTAATGGGAACAAGAGATAATAGAAAATAACAATTACATTTAAAGACAAATCAACGTAAAATTTGCCAGCCAGCAGTAGTATCCTTGTATCTTCCAAAATCCAAATTTCTGAACACAATGAAGCACTGACATGAAATAAATTTTTTTAAAATAATAAATTCCTGAAATAAAATGAAAGCAGAAAAACTTTGCCAGATTTCCTCTGTTATTCTACTTTTCAAAATATTTTTTAAAAGTTCAACATAAAATAAGACACAAAGATAAATGTATTCCACGAAGGATGGACGTCACACAACATGTAAACATTTGTTGCTGTTGTTGTTGTTGTTGTTAGCGATCCAGTAGTATCTGAGCGTTAACTCTTCTGCATGATGCCATTTTGTAATAGCTGGATGTCTGTTCTAATAGTTGTCTTGAGGAGTAGAGGCAGTTAGATGTGTAGGGCAGCCTGGGAAGAAAACATTCCCTCTGATTGGTAGTTTTCTACAGAAGAACAGATGATGTTCCACTGTCTCTGAGGGGTAGTCACATAGTGGGCAGGTAGCAGACAGCTTTATTCCAATTCAGTTGAGATGTTCATTGAGGGTCACAAGATGTGTTCTAAGTTGGAAGATTATGGATTGATCTCCCCTCCTAAACTCATTGATTGGATCTTTAACCAGTGGTTAATTCATGTGGCCATACATTATTCTAATTGTCATACCTGTGGCCCATGCGTTCATCCAGTTAACATTTCCTTCACAAATTTCCAGCAACATTTCAACACTTGCCAGAGTCTAAGTAAGTAATCCGCCAGTGCCATTCACATTTTGAATCAAAAAGAAAGAACCAGATATATATCTCAACAACAGGGTAAAATGATACATTATACCGCATAAAAAAGATATATTGCTAAAGCAAAAGACGTTTTTAAAACAACAAAGAGCATTTAAAATTGGATTCCCTACAACAGTAAATATTGGAAAACCACACAAAAAAACCCAGTATATGTCCAAATGACAGCGCAAAACAATTACAGTCTAATAAACAGCTCTGCTAAACCTACAAACAGTGGAAAAACACAAAGAAAAATTTCCGCTTTATAGCATTGTTTGGACTCAAAGTGATGCTTTAAAAAATTATTATGATTCTTTTTGAGCAGACAGGTGAAGGGTGAAGTGCGGTCCTTGTATCAAAATGCAGCGAAACTATTCCAACTTCCCAGGGAACATTCTGGCTCAGAAAAAAAAAAGAATTACTGAAGGTGTCTCAAACTCCTGTTCCAGACAAATGAACCAGTAGGAGAATGGAAAGTTAAGTGGGAAAGTTGTTACAAGTAACATTTTGAAAAGGGGCTCAAAAGCTAGAAAAACAGTCCACCATAAAACTTAGTCATCTTTTCACTGACTGCCATCCTCATCACTGACTCGATGAGTACCCTCGAAAACGTGAAGAAGTATATGATGTATGCAGACTGGCGAGAGACAATACAAAGCAGCAGATTCACAAGGGTGTATGGATCTTTAGCCCTGGTCATGCAGGAGTTCAAGGCAATGAACGTGCTGATAAGTTAGCCGGCCAGGCTGAGATTGGCGGCACCATGCAATTAGATCCACCAAGAGTCATGGTAGCATTTTTGTTTTAGTTGAGGTTTTACGGCGCTCTCAACTGCATAAGGTCATATGAGTGCCAGAAGACAAGAGGTGTTACAAGAGAGTAAGAGAGAAACAAACATAAAAAAGAAGAAGGGGTGATAAGGACGATAGATGTTTGATAGTAAAGACGAAGCAAACCACACCAGAGCACCCACCAACCACCCACAGGCTGAGATTGGCGGCACCATGCAATTAGATCCACCAACAGCCATGGCAGCATTGACAGAATCATTCAACGACCATAGAGAGGATGAAGGCACCACATCACACACGATGGAAACACTGAGGGATGCCGATATTTCTAGAGGGTCGCAAAGGGACAGCCACCTACAAGGAAAATCTAAAGGGACATCCAACCAGCTGATGACTCATGACTCACTGGCACGATCAGCAAACCAACCGTTTTATGGATCCCGGAGAGGAGGTACGAGCAGCTCTGGCACTATACCGCCTGCAATGATGCCTTTTCTCCAACCAAGTAAGTAATCTGGTAATCAAAAAACGTCTTGTGAAGTAAATGAAGTCAGAAAGCCAAGGATTCAAGCCTTTCAATGTCTTCTGTAGATGTAACAATCATGCCTTTTCTCAACTTTCTCTTCCATAATTAACCAGTACATTGCACAAACTGACTCATGAACACAGTGCTCCAAAGGGAATGGGACAACCTTTTCCTTCCCACTCTAAAACCCCCCACTAATTTGAGAAAAAAAAAAAGGTGAAACTGTGTAAGAAAACACTAATTTGAGCCCCAAAAAATGACGACATTGTATAAGTTTAACACCCCTATCAACACTGTTAGGCTATTTAAGGGGCACGACCTTCGAGCTTAACGTCCATCTCTGAAAGGACCGAGCCAAGTGGGAAATTTATGTAAAATGTCTTTCTCAAGGACACAAGGTCGGACCGAACTGAGGCTTGAACACCCGAACCCGCACTAATTTGAGATGGTCTCACAAGGCAAACATTGCTAATTGACATTGCATCTAAAAAAAAAAAAAAAAATGAAAGTGAGAAGCTGTAAAGAGACTTGTGTAAAAGTAAAAGCAAAAAATGAACCACCACAGTAGACAGAACAAGGAAGACACACATTTTTCCTTCTCTCCAATAAGTTTGGTAGAAGAGGACGATAACATGCTGTGATACACACAGAGTACCCAGTACAGAAAAAGTCTGTGGGCGATATTGTTGAAGTCAGATGTTTGTTCTCTCTTTACAAAGAACCGAGAAGAGCAGAACACTGAGGTGAACCTAAATAGTTTGGTCGATAAAGAGGGTTTGAGCTTGACCTTTGAGAAATCAAACAAGCTACAAAAAAAATCTCAAGCTAATAAAAACCTACTCTAATTCTGACGGTACCATGCAAATATGTCAGATACAACCATTCATAGAAGATTAACATTACAAGAAAAGATTTGTAGCCTCAAGTAAAGATTTCTACTCTCTGTATACACAACACTGCACAAATGTTTTGGGGCTCTGGCCAGTCTCTTTTTCAAACTTTTAGCCACAGTAGCATAGAAGAGAATAACGACAAACATCAAGAATCTATGGAATATTCGCTCTTTGCTAGATATATATATGGCAAAGAAATGGGATATGAATACTTTACCAGCTTTATGCTCAGCTATGATATGAAAGAACAATTGCCAAAAAGAACAGGGCATACCTTTCTCTTGATGCTCTAGCAAAATAAAACATAATACGAAAGCAGAGATAACAACATATATAAAAAGGAGATTTAGCGCCTCAAAAGTACTAATTATATCTCATTCGTACAAAACCGATTTGCAAAATGCAAGCGTCAAATACTTTTATATCCTTTGTTGCAACAACTAAAATCTGTAACATCAGTCAAAGTGTGCTGGTCTTATATCAAAGTAAACCCAGATGATGCAATTTAAACATATTTCAGCAAAGGGCCGATTTTGGCTTCAGGTGCAGGTTCACATGTGATCAAAATTCAGTCCCGCAAGTTTGTGCGTTGTGATCTGAGAAGCTGTTGGCAGACAAAACAGGGGACAGATTCGCAACAGAGTTACAATTTCAGTACGTGTCCTTTGTTCCACCCAATTTTCCAACAAACAGCTTCACCAAATAGGAAACAAAAAATATTCTGCCAACCACTCAACCCTGAATATTTTCTCACACCAGAGTCATTCTCAGTAACTCCAAATTACAGTACAATTCCTTACCATCTTCAATTCAAAGAGAGTCATTAATTTATCTGAGAATTCTTTGCTGTGCAGTCTTTCCTCCTCCACTTTCGTCCCTGATAGTTCAGACAAGCAAAAATCATCCATCTCACCCATGTAAAACTACCCACCGTCAACGGTAATCATTATTTTTTATATTTAAAAAAAATTTTAATTAAAAAAAAGAAAAAAAAAGTACAAACGTTCAGAGTAGTCAATAAGATGTGCTCATCCAAACAGGTCAACAATTTGTTATGCTCAATACAGCATCCAATTTTATATTTTTTTAAAAACTTATTGTAGCAACGGAGAGTGGTTTCTGTATCATGTTGATATGAACTGAATAAATCAAAGTTATAGAGCTTCCCAAAAAGAAGTCTGTTTTTGTTGTTTTGTTTTCAAAAAAATTTATGAATTCACACTGTTTACACTATGCGACTTTCCAACCTTACAAAGACTGTAATGAGGGCATTCCTCACTCATATGATGGACACTGTGGTAATTTTTTGGTCGCCATTGGATTCTATTTTGTGATTAAAAAAATTATATCAAGATATATATATATTTTTAAAAAATTACAATATAATACAAAAAGCTAAGAAAACAATCTTTCATCACAATTCATCCTTCTCCGCTTCCTCATCATCATCCTCTTCTTCCTCCTCCTCCTCTTCTTCCGCCTCGCCATCATTGTCTGAGTTAACCTCATCAACAGCTTCGGGTAAAGTTATCATCGGACTTGCCAGATCTTCCATTGAGCAAACTTCTGCAAAGAAACAAAATGGAGCGCAGAGAAGGTTACCCTCAGAACACAGAACAGAACCAAACGTAAACATAAACTGCTCCAGCGACAGCTTTTTAAATCTACCTCACAGCGTCTCTATCTTGTTGGGGGTTTTTTTAGACTTCTGAGCATTCATATGAGCTTTAAAATCTCTTTTTGTTTTAGTAGAGGTTTTACGGTGCTCGCAACGGTATAAGGTCATATGAGCGCCAAGGGGTGGATGTCAACAGAGAAGTCCTTACTCGGCTCACCTCTCTAGCTTCAACAGCACAAAGTCTGCTTCGACTATCAAGGCACCCTAGAAATAGCCGGTCACAAGAGTGTGACAAACATACAAAAGAAGTAGAGGGAAAATGACGATAGTAAGGATTAGGAAAGAAAAAGCAGCAGTTCCCTGTTGAAGTTCAGGCACAGTTATGAGCATGACATTGATGAATCAGTCCATTTACAGTTACAATTCTACAACAGTGCATAAGAACTCGAAAAGTTAATGTCCCCTCCTTTGGGAATGGCCTAAAGACACTTCAGTCAGTAGCACTGCCCCGGGGGGTTTGAAATCTCTCATCAATCAAAAAATAATTGCTTAAAAATTAAAACATAAAAACAATACGTAATCAACATCAAGTTCAATTCAAAACCAGAGTTTGGGAACAGAATGTCAGAAAGACAAGTTATCACAGAATGAGAAAGAGCCCCAAAAAGCCTACAACTATATTTGTTTCCCTAAATAAGGATCAAATCACAGTTCCACCATGACATACAAAAATGTTAAATTGAATTTTAGAGACACATGACAGATAAATAAGGAGTATCCATGTGTGTGTATGTGTGTGTGTGTGTGCCTGTGCGTGTGTGCCTGTGTGACAGTGTGTGTGTGAGTGTGTGCATGTGCACGCGTGCCTGCGTGTAAGTGCTAGTGTGTGCTTTCATGAGTGCATGTTGGTGAGAGTGTAAGTGTGTGTGCATTTGGTGTGCGTGTACTCTGCCTGTGTCTATCATGTACATATGGGTGAGTGTTTGGGCATGGAAGTATGTGTCCCTCTGGAAATGTATTGTTAACTAATCTGGGATAAACCAGGAGCTTCTCTTGCAAGACAGTCATTTTTTAAAGAAAGTGTTTTACGGCACTAGCAACAGAAAAAGGTCATATAAGTGCCGAAGTTTAGAGGTGATACAAGAGAGTATGTATGGCTCTTTTCGTCTATGCAGACGGTCAATTTAGCTTAAGATTGTCTCAAGGTTGTACTCATGCAGCTTCTTTCATGGCTAATTCTTCCTATGTTTGAAGCGCAAATTCTGTTGCAGTGCTTGCATGTCAGTGACGTGGATCAAGGCTCTGTACTTTTGTTGTATTCCTTTCGTCGTCGGCGCTTCTCAGCCTGGTTGTTTCTAAAGCTGCTCTCTAGCATCATAGTTCTTACAAGAGAGTAACAAACACAAAAAAGAAAGAGGGGAGATAAGGATGATAGGAAAGAAGGAGCAAACCACATCAGAGCACCCGCCAACCACACACCAAGACAGTCAGTGAATGGGAGTCACGAAAATTGCCAAACAATATCAAGCGTCAATTGTTTCAAGCTACAGCCCACTTCAGCATGTGCTTGAGCTAGACATAATAATGACTTCAGCTAAAGAACAATCTACTGAGCCAAAGCCACCAGAAAAGATGCGGTTCTGAATTCTTTTTGGGATGATTCTTGTGTATTGTGCAGTTTTGCAGTTGTGAATAAATACAAACATTCAGTAGAAAATCACCCCCCCCCCCCCCCCAAAAAAAAAAAAAAAAAAAAAAATTTCCTTTCACTAGATCTGAAATATCCTATAGCGTTTAGACTGCTAGTAAATATTTTTTTAAAAGACAGAAATAATGGGTAAAAAAGATAATTATTCAAACCACGTACTTGTTTCTTCTCCACAAATAATTTTCTCGTAATCGGGAATGTTTTCTCGTTGCAAAAGGGAGATCATTTCTTCTTCATGATTCTCCAGGAAGTCGTCACACTGAAATAAGAGAAGAGAAAAATGCCATAAAAAGAGGACAGAAATTTCAGAGGTAACATGGACAAAAGAAAATAAGTACAACTGTCTGCCCCCCATCCGCCCTCCTACCCCCAATCTGTTTTTCCAGACAATTATGCAGCAGTCTGTCTGCCTTCCTGCCATAAACCACAATCAGCCCCTTTTGTGACAAGGACTCTAAGAAAGTTACTTCCCATTCTGTTTTAAAGATCTGAGTTTCAAGTTTTGCTCAAATAGAAGTAAAAAGAATATAATGCACTAAATTTCAGAATCTGAATTTAAGTCATCTTTAGTTTTAGTAGAGGTTTTACGGCATTCGCAACTGCATAAGGTCATATGAGTGCCAGAAGATTAGAGGTGTTTCAAGAGGGTAGCAAATAAAAAAGAAGAAGGGGAGATAAGGACGATAGATGTTCGATAAGAAAGAAGAAGCAAACCACACCAGAGCACCCGCCAACCACCCACATTTAAGTTATCTGTATTCAAGAACACAGTGCTGGAGTGCAAACATGTAACAGAACTGATTATGAAAAAATATCTCGAGCATAAATTTAAAATGGACTTATTTTATACCTTACATCTGGCCAACATTCGCCATGTGCGAGGCACAGATACAAAACATTACCTTGTACTTGAGCATTTTGCCAGCCTCTCGGTCAAGATTCAAGCCCGTAGTCTCAAGTCTCTGACCCCAAAATCCAGAGGTTCGTACGATGCTCTTTGACCCATCCTCGTTTGTGAGTTCACCGTATTGTCTCAGTTTTTCACATATGTCTTCGAAAATTTCTTCTAAATGTGAATCCGATCTTGCATACTTCTTCTGCAAAGAGAAAAATCAGTTCCGAGAAAGATGAGTTCGTATGAAATATACACAGGTTAAACAGTGAGAGACATTAATTGAAAGCTAAGAAACCCATTGTGCTCTACATTTTTCATTTATGAGCTAAAAAATACAACTCAATATAAGTGTGGAAGGAAATAGTTAATTGAAGGACTGTTTGATCAATCTCCAGTATCATTACAAGTAGAACTGGATAAAATTAATTTAAAAAATTCACATTGTCCTTTCTGAAATCCTTTTCTACATCAGTCACACTATTTATTCATTTTCTGAAAAGACAGTGTATCCAAAAGTTGCAGTAGATAGGATAGTTTGAAAGCGCTAGCAGAGAGCTCTTTTCTTTCCAATCTCACTCGCTCACTCCCTCGTCCAGTCCCCCACTGAAGCAGTGGCTGCCCTTCCCCGTTTACATTTCCATTTCATCCGTTGTAGCGCTTTCCTCAGGCTTTAAAAGACCATTATTATTGAGCCAGTGTTTTTCTCTCTTCATTATACAATATCTCTCAAGTAAAAAAATCCTAACTCACTGAAAAACACAGGAAATTCTTTTCCTCTATAGAGATATCTAAAACTGATAACACTGTTGAACTTAAGAATATTTTGAGCCCCTGGAAAGAATCACTGAAACACTTTCCTAGAAAAAGACAAACAGAAATCAGTCATAAAGATACAAATCTAATCTAGTAGTCAAATCTGATATTTAATCCTGAAAGTAGTCAGGGCGCAAAACAGTTGGTGAAGGCATTGTAGCCGATTGTAGCCAACAGGGGAAAAGGCAGAAGAATCATACTAGGTGATTTTGAGAATCTTAAGTTTAAAAAAAAACCAGAATTTTCTTTTAACTCTTTATCTCCGGCCAGCGGCTCGCGGTCAGAACCACTGTGCCGCTCGGGCACGTTCCTTTACGACGACTTGAGCATAAAATTAATTTTCGGCAGTAGTTTATCGAAATTGGTTCACTCATTTTGATTTAAACACTAATTTAGTGATGATTTAGTCATTTTTAGATTTAGTACCAAAAAGGGGCCCTGGCACAGTGGGTTTACCCCCCCCCCCCCCCCCCCTCCACGGAGATAAAGAGTTAAAGAAAGATATAAAACTTTCTCTTTTTAAAATAGACCAAGCCATTTTTTTTCTTGCTTTAACACTTATAGTACCAAAGGCTCATATAGATCTAGTGAAAAACCCTCAAGTACCGCACCAGATTAGAACTCTGAAGCAATGGTAGATTTTTAACAAATTAACAAAACTTTTGCAGCCCGAGAAACATGCTTTAAAAATTCACAGAGGTTCATCAACCATTTAGCTATCATATGGAATGACTTCCTTTGGTATTTAGTTCAGTGCAGTGGCTTTGTCCGTTATTTAATTATACTCAGTACACCTGGTCGAGTCGTCGCCAGCGGTAATGAGCACATACTAACGCCTGGACTAAAGTCGCCGACGGTACTAAAAGTGTTAAATCAGTGTTTGTAAAATCAGAGTGTCACGTAGCCCCCATGGGGTATAAATGAAAAATTTCTTTCAATGTGACTTCAGCTGGGTTTTTTTTTTCATACTCTTTACTAATAAAAAGAATATTACTACATACTGCATTTCCACCAGGAAAGTACTCTATAATCATAATGTGCTTAACAAAAGTACAAAGAACATATAAATTTCCAAAAGTGATTCTCTCTCACCCCCTGCCCCTTCTCTCTCTCTTACTCTTCCTACTCCCTCTCTTTAGTTTTTTAGTTTTACTAACATTACAATGATCATAAAAATACTTAAATCATGTGCCTCAACAAAATTATGTGATTTCAACTGCTTATTAAACACTTCCACGGAATTTGAATCTCTAATATATTTGGGTATAAACACATATTTACCTCGAAAAAATTAGGTGATTTTGACTTTTTTAACACTTCCAGGGAATTTGAGTCTTTAACATATATATATTTGTGTAAGTCATTTCACATCAGAGGACCAATTCAAAACGCATTTCATCTTGTCTTCTTTCCTCCTTTCGCGTCAAACAAAAGCAGGGCACTTTACACTTTGATCAGATTTACCCTCTAAAAGAACTTTTATCGAGAGTTCATCTATGTGACCCATCTCAAAACAGTGGTTAACATCCCATATTCCCTGATATAAGACCATACCATATTTCTAGAAAAAAAGAGATATGTTTGAGAGTTCCCACATGAAGTTTTTACAACAAAAGTTCTTACCTCTTTTACGGTTAGGTCTCCTTTTGGATCTACCCTGAAACTTCCAACTTGGATACTTTTCTTGGGATCCACTTGACTGACGGCCCAGTTCGCCTCACTGATCAAGGCTCGACACACTGTTTGAAGAAGAAATATAAGAGAGTGTGACTTGTTTTTGGGGGGGGGTTTTTGTAAGTGTTGTACAGCGCTCCCAACTGCATAAGGTCATATGAGCGCGCGAGACACATTAAACATTTTCAGTGGGTAGGAAATTTTTAATGTTGCCCGGGTGGCGGCCGAAGCCTACTCTTATCCATTTTAAACCACCAAGGGGATCTTTAACGCGCGCAACTTGCACACGGGTCCTCCGAGATTTTTCGCCCTTGTCCGAGAGGGCTAGGTGTAGAGTGTAGATCTTTCCTACCAGAAGATCAGGGGTGTGGCTGAAAGACAGCAGTAAGGAGCCAAGGGGTAGAAGTAGAAAGGCAGCAGAAAGAGTCAGGAGCCCAGAGGAAAGGGAAGGGGACAGAAAGAGGTGACGAAAGAAGACGATGGAACATTGTTAGAGAGCAGGAAAGGATGTGAAAGGAAAACATTTTTTAGAGGAGAAAATTTTTCGGTCGCTAGAATCTAGAAATCTAAATCTAGATCTAGATGTACATCTTGTGGTGCGATATACAGTAAGCGATCTTTTGTGGATATCTCTGGAAGTTACAGGTCGATCTTCATGATTTTTTCACCAGAAGTTAGAAAAAACTTCCTTTCTATACGGTGTAGCACATTACTGTAACAGCAGTTTGAAATTTCTATATGTTGTGGTGGTGTTTGTTTGGTAACGTGTGCCTGTTTGGTGCGCAAGGTGTCTGTTTGGTGCAACATATGTCGTCTGGTTGGGTGCGCAATAGTACCATGTTTACAGCTCCAGCTCCAGATCTAGCTCTTTTCTGACACTTTTCATCTTTCTCTATCCTGGCCTTGTCTTCTTTTCCTTACAAGAAGTTCCTGTACTGACCATAACGGAAGGCCAAGGTCAATGAGGCGTGTTCTTTTTGGGAGCTGTGCGCCCCCTAATAAGAGATTTCCTTACATCGTGTGTATGTGTTTTGATAATGGATAAAAAGAAACGTGCTGTGGACACAAGAAGGGGAAAGAAGAAAACAAGAATTAGACTATACCTAGACTAGTATTCTTAAAGAAAAAGGACAAAAAAGAAGAAGAAAAAGACATGAAAAGAAGAAATTGAACATTTTGGAGATTAAATTTCCATATTAATTAATTTTGACATGAATACATTAACTTATCATCTTCCAATGGCAATATAATGCATCCAAATGGAAGGAAAACAGTCTGTTTCAGTGCACAAAATGCAGGTCATAAAGAAATAACTTAATAAGTAAAACAAACAAAGGGCCTAGAAGCCACACTATCAATGCCAAATAGCAAAAAAGCCGATATTGCGCACTGAAACGGACTGCCCAAATTTGGTCTGCTTCAGTGCGCAACCCTATCTGGCAGGTTCCTGGGCATTAAGAAGCAGCCTGCGATAGTATTTATTGATTCTAGTATACATTCTACGATACATTAGAGCTAGAAATTAGCTAGATATGTGCTAAATAATCGACTACTCAAGCGCTTAGTAAATTCATCGATACCGGTTACGAAAACCATAAATATGAAGGGGCAAAACTTTCCGACACCGTAGAATCACGTGTGTTGACAGGAACCTCCAAAACGAAAGTGAAATAAGCTGCATTCTGCGCATGCTCACAGAAAGTGACATCATTTTCGCTGTTCTTATCCAAAACAAAGCAGGAGACCGGGGGTTGTGCACCCAAACAGTTGCGCGGTGACGCGGGCCTACATCTAGATCTAGATCTACCCGGATTCGAACCCGGGACCTTTGAATGAGAGGCCAACACCGTAACCTCTAGAGATCAATTAAAAGAACAGCCCCAACAAGCACATTGTCAAATCTGTGCCGCTCCTATCCGTTTTGAAACTTCTAGATCTAGATCTAGAATCTAGATTCTAAATCTACTATTTTAACATTTATTTTAGAGGGGATGAAAATAAACATAAAGAAAGTGGCTATTCTCACCCGCCCGGAAGTTCTCGCAAGATCAACTCCTCCCCTCTTCTCTCTCTCTCTCTCTCTTTCTGAATAGTCTATCGGTGTGGACGATCAAATTGACCAAAACAAAGTTAAAAAATGATGTTAAAACACAAAAGTAAATTAATTTGGTTGTCTACAAAGATGCTACAGCTATTTAACTTTTCGAATCGAGCCGAACTACGCGGGTCGCCATTTTGTTTTGCCCGGAAATTCTCGCGCTACTCCTCTCTCTCTTTCTCTCTCTCTCTCCACTGCCCACAGACAAAATTGGGCGCTTTTTCGGTAGTTCCCACCCCCCTTATTTGATAGAGCCTGACCTACATCTAGATCTAGATCTATATATACGTTTGATTCGCGGCAAGCTAAGATGTCAAACCTAGTAACAACTGCAAAACATTAAATTGTGGTAAAATTCAGGGGGGCATGCCCCCCCTGAAACCCCCCACCTTGTTTTTATTAGGTCAGGGGGGCAAGCCCCCCTGAAACCCCCCTACTCTTGGGGCCAAAACCGGCGAATAACAAATGCGGGGTGGGAACTACTGAAAAAGCGCCCAAAATTGTACGCTTTTAGTAGGCTACAGTTGTAATGGAACGTTTGTTCACGGCACAGAATTCTACAATTTTTCTGTTATCACAGTGTAGAATTCTGTGGTTTAGGTTGAACGCAAAATTTGTTGAACGCGCACCGTGTGAGAATAGCCACAAGACTCGCCTGCACTATTCTGAGGTGGCCAAACATAAAATAGCAGCACTGCAGCACTCACCTCCACAATATTTTTCATTTTTTCCACACTGACTGACGTCCACAAACGTCAAGAGAAGTAAAAATGATAGTAAGTACATTGCTGAATCACCCAGCATCATTGCAGTTGGAACAAGCGGTCGTACAATTTAAAAGCTTCTCCGAAAAGTTTTTTTGTTCAAGTCCCGGCTGGTGTTTCTCACAAGGCAGAAGCTCAGCCGGTTTCCAATGTTTTCGTCCGTATTGAACTTGTTTCGTTTTGTGGATATACCGGTTACGAATTTCACATTGCTGTGAGCAAAACGTGGATCGCAGCAGAGATGGCACGGAACGATTTTGATCATTTTGGGACAATCAAAAGAATAATCAACAAACCCTTGGCGAAACAATTTTGTTTTTCTCTTCGCTAATATGATCAATGTTTTGAGTTTTGAACTTTTGAAAGAGCTGTTATTTTTGCCTTGCTTGAAAGTTGAAAGGAAACAAATACGTTTAGATCTAGATCTAGATCTAGATTTACTGCAGCCCTAACTAAAGCTAAAGAGGGAATTAAATTGTTAGGCATGGGTAAGTTGGATACTTGACTATCGAGTATCTCATTGATGGGTACCATGCAGGGCTGCCAGTTTGGCCCCAAATGGGGCCAAATTGCTCAAATTTGGCTCTTTGGGATCATGACTGGCCACCCCCAAAAATAGTTGGCCCGGTTGGCCCCAATTTGGCCAATTTTAGATTCCCCCCCCCCCCCCCCCCAAGAAAAAACAAATGAAATAAAATAAAAGCAACGAGTTTTTGCCACACACAAATTGAGCATTTATTAGTCCCAAATGGTTGGCAGTGAAGAGAGCGGCTGCGTGGAATAATGGCTGATCAAGAAAGTCGTGTTTACATTGTGGATCTTGCAGAGGATTCTAGCGTCAAGACAGTTCACAAACATTAATTTAGCTTGGTTCAGTGAGTCGTCCCCATGAAGGAACCAAGGCATGACCACTGACAGTGACAGGATGAACAGTAGCGTGCACTGATGACTGAAAAGGGTCAGGTATCATACCGTAATCAATCATACTTATTGATTTACTAATGTTATTTAGATCTAATTTGGTTGAATATTTATTTATTTTATTCACAAAGATGGGGGGGGGGGGGGGGTTAAATACAATGGCCGAAATCCGATGAGTTTTGGAGGGGGGGGGGGGGTAAGTATGGTTGGGCCCCCAAAAATCAAGTTTGGCTCCAAATTGTGATATTGTTGGACCCACACCAGAAAAAAAACTGGCAGCCCTGGTACCATGGGTTAACGCCCCTTGCCAATACATACATGCCTGTGCAGTGTGCCTGCCTTTGTTTAGGCCCGATTACCGATTGCCGATTGCCATGCAAATTGCCTGCCCCTGCCTCCAGTTGACACTGACAGCTGTGGGCTGATCGCCGTGTAACATCATTAGATTAGATCTACTGGTTCATGATTGAAGCCCCCCTGAACCCCCCCACCCCACTGTTGGTATGATACACAGTGGTCCATCAAAGTTAAATCCCCTGCCCACTCTCAACCACCACCACCTCTCGCTCACCTCGCCTCGCCAGTCGCCGCTGACTTCGCTGTGCGTGCGCGAAGTCGCCCGCGGAACTACCTTTTGTCCGCACGCAGAGTACTATGAGTGCGTAGTTAGGCTAGGCGTGCGTAGTAATCACGGGCCGAGACGGGTGGTCCGGTAAAGTACAATCCAGCCGAGAGGCTTAGACGGTCATACAGTACACGCCCATCATTTTATTCATCGCTATGGATCAGCGGGACATGGAAAAAGAGGTAGATCTAGGCTGTTACCGTTTGCTAGGTCCAAGCCCAAGTATGATGAAATAGGCAGAACCTGTCATTTCGGCACACCCCAATTTGGTGACGAAATGACTGGTGTATTTGGTTGTTTTTGATTGTGGCAGGGGGTTAGGCCTAGCCTATTGTATTGTTTGGCCACCTCTATATATAGTGAGAATAGAGCAGGCGAGTCTTGTGGCTATTCTCACCCGGTGCGCGTTCACCAAATTTTGCGTTCACCCTAAGGCCACCTCTATTCTCACCCGGAGTGAGAATAGTGCAGGCGAGTCTTGTGGCTATTCTCACCCGGTGCGCGTTCACCAAATTTTGCGTTCACCCTAAACCATAGAATTCTACACTGTGAGGAAAAATTGTAGAATTCTGTGCCGTGAACAAACGTTCCATTACAACTGTAGCCTACTAAAAAGCGTACAATTTTGTCTGTGGGCAGTGGAGAGAGAGAGAGAAAGAGAGAGAGGAGTAGCGCGAGAAGAGAATTTCCAGGCAAAACAAAATGGCGACCTGCGTAGTTCGGCTCGATTCGAAAAGTTAAAGCCGTAGCATCTTTGTAGACAACCAAATTAATTTACATTTGTGTTTTAACATCATTTTTTAACTTTGTTTTGGTCAATTTGATCGTCCACACCGATAGACAGTATTCAGAAAGAGACAGAGAGAGAAAGAAGAGGGGAGGAGTTGATCTTGCGAGAACTTCCGGGCGGGTGAGAATAGCCACTTTCTTCACCCTCCTAAACCTAAACCACAGAATTCTACACTGTGATAACAGAAAAATTGTAGAATTCTGTGCCGTGAACAAACGTTCCATTACAACTGTAGCCTACTAAAAGCGTACAATTTTGTCTGTGGGCAGTGGAGAGAAAGAGAGAGAGGAGTAGCGCGAGAATTTCCGGGCAAAACAAAATGGCGGCCCGCGTAGTTCGGCTCGATTCGAAAAGTTAAATAGCCGTAGCATCTTTGTAGACAACCAAATTAATTTACTTTTGTGTTTTAACATCATTTTTTAACTTTGTTTTGGTCAATTTGATCGTCCACACCGATAGACAGTATTCAGAAAGAGACAGAGAGAGAGAGAAGAGGGGAGGAGTTGATCTTGCGAGAACTTCCGGGCGGGTGAGAATAGCCACTTTTGTATTGTTTGGCTGATAGTGTGAGAGTGAGTAAAATGTGAGAGTGAGTAAAGTACTGTAAAGTGTGAGTCTGTGTTCAGTTGTATTGTTTGCAAGTTGATAAAAGTCTGAGTTACTACTGGTGGGAGTTGGAGAGGAGAGAGTTGTATCAAGGCAGAGGAGGCCTGCTGACAGTATAGATTGTGAGAAAGGCTAGTTAGAGCCTCAGTTCAGTTGTCTGAGTTGTGCGTGAAGTGTGAGATTCCAATCCAACGCATTGGGCGGGGCCCCAAAGCTGCGGAAGGAATCACAACACAGAGCAGAGGAACAGGTTTGGCTAATTCCTGTTATAGTGGCATGTGACAGAAGGTTAGTAGTGTAAAATCTTTGTTTTCTGTTCCAAGTAAAAACAATGACTTCATATGATATATATCATCATCATTATTGCCTTTCTCACCCTGCACCAGGGTATAATCTAGAGGCCACGGACAAACACTTTCCACCTTTCTCTATCCTGAGCACCGTAAAAACCTCTACTTGCCTTTCAGAGTAGAGTCTACACCCCCGGGGGCGGTGTCACTGACTGAAGTGTCTTTGGGCCAGTCCCAATGGAGGGACATTAACCATGTTCTTATGCACAGTAGAATTGTAATCGTAAATTGGCTGATTCATCAAGGTCATGCTCATAACTGCCTGAACTGCAATAGGGAACTGCTGCTTTTTCTTTCTTAATCCTTACTATAGTCATTTTCCTCTACTTCTTTTTTATGTTTGTTACACTCTTATGACCCGCTATTTCCGGGGTGTCTTGATATATTCGAAGCAGACTTTGAGCTGTTGAAGTTCGAGAGGTGAGCTGAGTAAGCTTGATTCCCTGTAAGGACTTCTCTGTTGACATCCACCCCTTGGCGCTCATATATGACCTAATGCAGTTTTGCGAGCACCGTAAAACCTCTACTAGTGGGTGGTTGGCGGATGCTGTGGTGTGGTTTGCTCCTTCTTTCCTATCAAACATTTATCATCCTTTTCTCCCCTTCTTCTTTTTTATGTTTGTTACTCTCTTGTAACACCTCTAATCTTCTGGCGCTCATATGACCTTATGCAGTTGCGAGTGCCGTAAAACCTCTACTAAAACTAACTAAAACCTCTACTAAAACTAAAGAGTAGAGTCTCTGTTTGTTTTTGCTGAAGCAGTGTTCACCGTCCAGTATGGTTGCTATTGGATTCTTGCTTCTACCAAATTCTCCACTTTTGATGTTTGTCACAGATGGAGGACTAGCAGCACTACAGCCATACCTCCTTTTAGTTAGTTCGTTTTACTAGAGGTTTTACCGCGCTCGCAACCGCATAAAAGGTTGTATGAGCGCCAGAAGATTAGAGGTGTAACAAGAGAGTAACAAACGTAAAAAAGAAGAAGGGGAGAAGGACAATATATGTTTGATTGGAAAGAAGGAGCAAACCACACCAGAGCACCCGCCAACTACCCAGATACCTCCTTTTCAAAGTGGTTGAGTGGTATATTATTGTAGTGAGAGGACCCATGTCACTGGTGAGACTTAACTGATGAAATTGGACAATAAGCCTTTTTGATAATTTTTGTGTGTTTTCTTTTGTCCTTTCAGATATCTCTACAGAAGGTTGTTATAAATGAGCTGGAGCAAGTGAAGAAAACCTCAGTGAGTTCCTTACTTGATTTTCAATTAATTCATTGTGAAAAGGGGCAGAAGTCAGTTTTGCTGCAGCTTCATATTCATAATAATTGGTCGCTTTTAAGGACAAGCGGGCTAACCCAGATTTCAGGGGTTTCCAGAAATCTTGACCTACACCAACAGTTGGCATTGCCCTACTTATAGGAGAAGTTTGGTTTCATTGATGTGTATATATATTTGTTTGGTTATAGCTCTCCTTGTGTTTTAAAGAAACTGAACAGGGGGAAAAACTTTACCTTCGATTTTCTCAAAACAGCATTTTTCGGGATAGCCCCCTTGTGCTTAAAAGCCACCAATTGTGTTCCACTGCTCTTCTCTGTGCTCCTGACCAGTCCCAATACATGTAGTAGTTCTTCAACCCACAATATTATATCTCTGCCGTTAGCTCAGCAAACAGCAGCTCTCTTCATATTGGAATGAAATGCAGTGTCCATTTTCTTTCAGGCAACCAAAAATGCAATTTTCGAAGAAACTCCTGTTCATTAAAATTAATACCCTCTAGAATTGTTCCAGTTTTCAGAGCAAAGCTCGAGACCAGCCTCAAAGTAAGTGTGGTGGCAACTGAAAGACAGAAAATTCTATGGCTCTTTACTTAGTATTAAAAAGCCTTCTCCTTTAACTTGCAGGCCTTTGCTTTAAAAATGTATTTATTTTCTATTTTCTTTCGTCAATCCGAACGAAGTGAGAGTGGGTGGTTAGTGGGTGCTGTGGTGTGGTTTGCTTCTTCTTTCCTATGAAACATCTATCGTCCTTATCTCCCCTTCTTTTTTACGTTTGTTACTCTCTTGTAACACCTCTAATCTTCTGGCGCTCATATGACCTTATGCAGTTGCGAGCGCCGTAAAACCTCTTCTAAAACTAAAATGGCCTTTCTCCCTCCCACCATTCCCCGTGCCAATATGACAACCATAAGATATGCTTTCATTTTTATGTGCTCTTTGAAAGTTGAAATGGACCTATTTTTATTGACCTTGTATTTCAGAAGGTGTACAAAAAGCAACAGAACAGCTCTATTTTCTTCCTTTCATCTATTGACAAGGAAATGGCAGCAGCTCGAAGTGAGATTTAATTCTTTTCAAAGTGACTGTGTTTGGTTCTCGTGTGTGTGTGTGTGTGTGTGTGTGTGTTCAGTTCTTGTGGTTTTGTTCTCAACTTTTTTTTCTAGAGCTCCAGTGGGTGGTTGGTGGATGCTCTGGGGTGATTTGCTTCTTCTTTCCTATCAAACATCTATCGTCCTTATCTCCCCTTCTTCTTTTGTATGTTTGTTACTCTCTTGTAACACCTCTAATCTTCTGGCGCTCATCTGACCTTATGCAGTTGCGAGCGCCGTAAAACCTCTACTAAAACAAACTAGAGCTCCATATAGTTTATGGAGTTAAAACTAGTTTGTTATATGATACTGTTGTTGTTGTTGTTGTTAGCGATCCAGTAGCATCTGAGCATTGACTCGTCGGCATGATGCCATTCTGTCTGTAATAGCTGCATGTCTGTTCTAATTGTTGTCATGAGTAGAGGCAGTTAGATGTGTGAGGTAGCTGGGGAAGAAAACATCCCCTCAAATCGGTTAGTTTTCTACAGAAGAACAGATGATGTTCCACTGTCTCTGAGGGGTAGTCACATGTGGGAAGGCAGCACACTGCTTTACTCCAATTCGGTTGAGATGTTGATTGAGGGGCACATGTTGTGTTCTAAGTTGGAAGATTTTTTTGATTGATCCCTCCTCAACTCATTGAATTATTTGATACTCAAGAAGACTTGTTTTTATATTTTAAAAATAATTGTAGGTGGACTCAGTAGCTGAATCAGTCATAATAAAAATGGTACTGTACAAATGTAAAAATGTGTACTAGATCTATGTGTGTATATATTTCAAGCAAGAGAAAGAAACAGCGGCATTTCATTAAAAAAATTATTTTTTAAAAATTTCCAACTGAATCTTCACTGAGTACATGCAATGTATTCATTGACCGGCATTCCTAGTAAAAATTAATTGGTCTTCTCTTTTTCTTTCCGTTTTTCTTTCCGTTTTCACCATGAAATGGATCTTTTTTTTCAATTGTATATGTTTCTTTGTTTCCACATTTCTTAGCCTGTCTACCTTTCACTTTTGGGCTTTCAGCAATCTGTCTGTGTTTGGACTTTTTTAATACGGCACTGGTAATGTTCCACAATTTCTCTGATAACAAAATCGTTTTTCTGGGTCATAAAAGTAAATGTTGGCACTGGACTCCGTAGAAAATTCTCCTAACAAACCTTTCCTCATCTTATCTGACTCTCTGTCTTGCATCACCTCACTAACAAACTACAATTTGTGTCTTTAAATAGACAAAAAAGGTGTTGAACCATAAAAGAAAAATTTGAAAAAAGTTTACAAACCGCCGAAAAAATTCTGTTTTCTTTAATTTCATTATTTTGACGAGCGCTTGATTTCACTACAATGCCTCCCATATATATAAATCCGAATGTTAAGTCTACTGATAACATAATTATTCACGTCGTGTTGATCTCACTGCTGTTTAAAATATCTTCATCCGTCAATCTTCTTAACCCAATCCGTATGCCTTGGGGTCATTTTGTGCCCTCAGGGTTGTATTCTTCACATTTTAATAGAATACTTCTAGTTCGGAGTTCTCTTTGAAACTTTCAGTATTTCTTTTAAAAAATAATTTTGACAGACTGCTATGTAAAGCATATGGATCGTGTTGTGGCACAGGGTTCCCCACGTCGTATGGATACGATAGTAAAACGTGACGTACGGATAGGGTTAATGTCTGAAGGTTTTGTTTTTTCAGATAACCTGAACAGTCTGACAAAAGAGTATCAAGAAGTGGAACAAGCGCCGGGCTCAACAGCAGACGTGACAGGGTCATGACAATCTCTCGGAGTTAGAGAACGTCTCCCGCGAGTCATCAACTGATTCAGCCGGCACTGAAATGTTTCGTAATGGCTCGGGTATGCTGATCAAAATGCTGATAAGATGCACTGAATTTCAACACAGCACTATGTATTGTATATATGAAAACAACTAGAATTGAAAGAGTTCTTATTATAAGAAACACGGAATTTCAACTAAGTACTGTGTATTGTATATGAAAACAACCAGAATTGAAAGAGCTTTTATTACAAGATACTCTGAGTTTCAACAAAGTACTGTGTATTGTATATGAAAACAACTAGAATTGAAAGAGTTCTTATTATAAGATACCCTGCATTTCAACAAAGTACTGTGTATTGTATATGAAAACAACCGGAATTGAAAGAGCTTTTATTACAAGATACTCTGAGTTTCAACAAAGTACTGTGTATTGTATATGAAAACAACCGGAATTGAAAGAGTTCTTACTATAAGATACAAGGTACTATGTATTGTATTTATATGTATGTATGAAAACAACCAAAATTGAAAGAGTTCTTATTATTTTATAAGATACCCTGAATTTCAACGCACACTATGTATTGTATATATGAAAACAATCGGAATTGAAAGAGTTCTTATTATAAGATACACAGTTGAATTTCAACAAAGTACTATACAGCCAAAATTGAAAGAGCTCTTTTTATATTATAAGGTACTCTGAATTTCAACACAGTACTATGCAATGTATATGAAAACAACCGGAATTGAAAGTTCTACTCAAGCAAAGAAAAGAAAAGGTTTTAGAGGCAAGTAAGAAAAAGATATCCAAGTTGATTAGTTGAAAGAGGTTTTAGTTTTTGTAAGTGTTTGTTTTACAGCACTTGCAGCACAATAAAGTCATATAAGTGCAGAAGATTAGAGGTGTTACTAGAGAGTAACAAGCATAAAAAAGGAGGAGGATAGATGTTTGATAGGAAAGAAGCAAACCACTCCAGAGCACCCGCCGACCACCCACTTGAAAGAGGTAAACAAATAAATTTAACAAGAACAAAAAGATAGAAGTTGACCAACCCACCATTTTCTGTCTATTTTTATTATCCAATTGCACTGAAAGGGTAGGGAAATGAAGGTCCATCCATATTGACATAGTTTGGGGGCGGAATTGTAGCAGATATTCTAGAACTGGTGACGGGAGGGTAGTTTCCTCACAGGTGCGTGATTATTATAAAGAATTCTGAGAAAAAAAAGATGGCTGACTGGCTCTCACAACATTCTCTTCTCAACACTTTTTTACACAGGACAGACAAAGAAACTGTACAATATTGATCCTTTAAACTTTGCCACACTGTCTGAAAAGCAGTATACTGTAATTTGATTACTAGATTTATTTTTTCAGTCAGGTAAAGGGTAGTCATAAGTTGATGTATGATAGTCATATGTTGATGTGTGGTTGTCACAAGTTGATGTATGCTAGTCATCATGTTGATGTGTGTGGTAGTCACAAGTTGATGTATGGTAATAATAATTTGATGTATGGTAGTCATATGTTGATGCATGGTAGTCATGTGTTGATGTATGATGATAGTCACAAGTTGATGTATGTTAATCATAATTTGATGAATGGTAGTCATATGTTGATGTATGATGATAGTCACAAGTTGATGTATGGTAATCATACTTTGATGAATGGTAGTCATATGTTGATGTATGATGATAGTCACAAGTTGATGTATGGTAATCATACTTTGATGAATGGTAGTCATATGTTGATGTATGGTAGTCATATGTTGATGTATGGTAGGGGCTGGTGTTTCCCCTCTAGCTATTGCTGTTTGGAAGAAACTCCATGAAGTATCACCCAGTAGTGGACAGTGATCATGCATTGGCTGTTCATCACTAGGAAAACTGGTATAACACTTTGCCCCACGGGACGCCAATTGGCAACGGTGTGATATATATAGCGTGTACCGCACCAGTATCCTGGTCCGTTGGGATAAGTGATGCGCGCTCTGCGCGATGCGGGAGTGGAAAGTGATATTGAAGCCATTACCGCGGACTCCCTGGTTTCAGCAATGTCATTTCCCCTGATGGCTCTGTCATAATATTTCTGTAACTTTTCCACGGTTTCCTTAGCGAGCCAGTGCGGGACAATTAGGCACCCGCTCCGACCAACACACGGCGCTGATGCACCCAGCGAGTGCGTGGTCACACCATGTAGGGAAGTAACGTATTATGCGCGGTCAGCTGAAGGCATTTTTTCCCACGACCTCAGTACTGTGAAAGGGGCTGTTTCTAATAAGGTAGAAAGTCAGGGCAGGCCGAGATGGAAAGTACAGGGTGCTGCCTTTTGTTCCAATACCAAATTTTGCGTTGCAACTCTTGCTGTCACTGCAGTAACTGTGGGGAGCTTTAACAACACTTTTGGAATGAAGCGTAATTTATAGCCTCACCCTGTTCCGCAAAATGAGAATTTATATATATATGGAAGCATTTTCAAGCCATGAAATGTTTGCCATATGATACATAAATGCATGAAGGACAAAAATATTGCAGAAACTAGAAATCTGCCAACTGACCAGTGGTGAACATTTATCATCTTTAATGCATACTGTTTTGGGAGAAAGATTGATCATTGAGGAATGGCCTTTTACTCTTGAAGTGTGCCACTACAGTTTCATCACTAAGAACTACAACTACAAGATGGTCCAACTCCACACCACCTGTTTGTCGTTCAATTTTTTTATGTCAATGTGTCGAGTCGTGACATGGCTGTCAGGCCTGGCGTGACCTTCTGTTCTGGGTCCTTCTATTGCTATTTGCTATGTTGATGGTGATTCACAAAATGGAAGTCCACTGTTCTGGCCACCACAATGAAAGGGAATGGTCCTTGACGGCATTTCCATCCGGTCCTCGAGAGGTTCTGCTTTTTGCATCCTCGTCTGCACGTCTTGTTCTGGGCACTACAATGAAAGGGAACAGTCCTTGACAGCATTTCTACAAAGATCAGACTCAAGCCTCTCCATCCGGTCCTCGAGAAGTTCTGCTTTTTGCATCCTCGTCTGCACGTCTTGTAACATGCGCAGAATTTGGGCTGGAATATGATGAAAAAGGAATGGTCCTTTCCTGTATTTCCCCCAAGATCAGACTCAAGTCTCTCCATCCGGTTCTCGAGAAGTTCTGCTTTTTGCACCCTCGTCTGCACGTCTTGTAACATGCGCAGAATTTGGGCTGGAATATGATGAAAAAGGAATGGTCCTTTCCTGTATTTCCCCCAAGATCAGACTCAAGTCTCTCCATCCGGTTCTCGAGAAGTTCTGCTTTTTGCACCCTCGTCTGCACGTCTTGTAACATGCGCAGAATTTGGGCTGGAATATGATGAAAAAGGAATGGTCCTTTCCTGTATTTTCCCCAAGATCAGACTCAAGTCACTCCATCCGGTTCTCGAGAAGTTCTGCTTTTTGCACCCTTGTCTCCACGATGTCTTTGTGTGTGTGTAGATGTGTACGTGTGTGTGTGTGTTTGTGTAAGCCTGCATGTATGCTGTCTCTACAAAGGTCCTTTCCAGCATTTCCCCAAGATCAGACTCAAGCCTCTCCATCCGGTCCTCGAGAGGTTCTGCTTTTTGCATCCTCGTCTGCACGTCTTGTAACATGCGCAGAATTTGGGCTGGAATATGATGAAAAAGGAATGGTCCTTTCCTGTATTTCCCCCAAGATCAGACTCAAGTCACTCCATCCGGTCCTCGAGAAGTTCTGATTTTTGCGCTCTCGTCTGCACGTCTTGTAACACGGGGCAGAATTTGGGCTGGAATATGATGAAAGTGATATTGAAGCCATTACCGCTGACTCCCTGGTTTCAGCAATGTCATTTCCCCTGATGGCTCTGTCATTTTAAAATTTATTTCAAAGGGTATTGCAGCAAATTATTTTTAAAAATGTTCTTCAAAGTTCAACTAGACAGGTAGTCACAAGATATAAAATAAGAGGTGAGTAAGTAAAAGTTACAGAGCTGAACAGTAGGCTATAGTATAGCATATTTTAAGCTCTATCCAATGAACATTCAACAATGTATTATGTACAGTAATTCTTATTCTAAATCACTACCTACAATCTCCTCTTCCTGGCCAGTGTCCTCAATGTCAGTGTCACTATCACTATCCCTATCAAATTGTTCCTCCTCTAACATTTGATCTACCCGTGGGCTTAAATTAAGTTAAATGGTTGCAGAGGCCTGCATACTTAAAGTTTGCAAATTCCCAGTGAGCTTAAGTGTGGGAGCATTCAAGTAGTACTTGTGAAACCTGATCTGTGTCTTTATGTTCTTCATCTTTTGAGGCTTTTCCATCAATGAATCAAGGTCATCCTTACTGTGGCATATACCGCCCTGAGCAATGATTTCTGTCATGAGAGCTGCCCGCTTTTCAATTTCCTCTAGTTCTTTTTCTTTCTTCAGTCGTTCATTTTCCAATAACTTTGACTTCAATTCTTCCCTTGCTCGTGGATTCACTTCTTTGTGCCTTTCTTTCAGTTTCTTTCCCTGCTTCCGTCCAGATGACATAATGACCTTGGGCTGACTAGCTGATTTTGTTTCAAGAAAGGCGCTTGTCTTGTTATGTTTCAACATACTGATGGTGCTTCTCAAGTATGTACTAGCCGTCCTCCGCTTGGTCATGTCATAGTCCAAGTCACCAAATAGCCGCTCTCCTGTCAAATTGGTTAAAGGGGACTTGAGTCTAAAAGTTCTCTAATGTTGGTTGGAAGAGGACCCCCATACACACCGTCATCAAGAAAGTCTGACAACTGGCGACTAAGGACTTTGTGACTGTTTACACATATCAACTTGAAAGTAGCCGAAGCCAGGTCTTGGTCACACTGTGGTCGACTGGAGAGATGTTCATTTAAAGGGAACTTGTGACGGATGTCGAAATTCATACCCAAAAACAGGTGCTTCATTTTGGAGATTACGATCGTCAAAATCCTCAGATGACCATTTCTCCAGGGCTGTTTTCATTGACTGGACATGGGGAGGAAATTGTCCATAAGAAAGAGTTGTTGCTGTTCATCAGTTTCCAGTAGGGACAGGTAATGTGGACAGCAAGAAGGGCTATTCCTGCGATGATCGACATTATTTTGTCATCATGAAGATCCAGACAAATACTCTTTAAAAGCTGGTTAGAATGTGAGACACGTTCCTCCAAAAAGTGTAAAATTTCTTCTTTGTAGCTCAACACAGCAATGGTATTCTCAAATACGTTGTTAGTTAAACCGATTTGTTCGGTAGCTTGAGAAAGTTTATTTTTCCCTGAAGCCTCACAGTGCCCCAACCTGCTGCTACTCCTTGGCTCCATCTTACTGCTGTCTTTCAGCCACACCCCTGATCTTCTGGTAGGAAAGATCTACACCTAGCCTTCTCGGACAAGGGCGAAAAATCTCGGAGGACCCGTGTGCAAGTTGCGCACGTTAAAGATTCCTTGGTGGACTAAAATCGAAGAGTTGGCTTCGGCTGCCACCTGGGCAAAATTCATAATTTCCTTCCAACTGAAAAAGTTTAATATGTCCCGCGAGCTCATATGACCTTATGCAGTTGTGAGGGCCGTAAGGCACATGCCAAAAAAAAAAATACTGATACAGTGACAAAATCAGTAGGCTACTAGATTGCCTGAGGGAGGGCCGAGACTGGCAGGGGTCTGGATTGTAGCGGTGACCTCTTCTATTTTTCCTCGGATGATAGAGAACATAATATTCTCAATGCAGTCTTGATTGAGTTGGTCTGTCGGCAGAAACCGCTTTCTTTCTTAAAATCTCTACGGTGGTCCCTAATGAACTCATGTTAAAAAAACAGGGCCTTACCTTTCTTCCCACTGGCATCTACGGTGTAGAAATTAGGTGCCTCGCCATCTCATCATGCTGGAGATCTGAGTTCAGTTTGAAAAATTGAAAAATCAGCGTGTTCAGCATTGAATTTGCTTCAAGAATACCCTTATTAAATTATTTTTATTATATATCAAAAATTTCCGACAACTGAGGTCTTTCTCTAGGCACACGCGCGCGCACACACACAAACACAGACAGCTCACCAACTGCTGCCTGGAGAGATGAAAAGTTCAATTTTTGGGCAGTTATTGTTTAGGCTTTCGACCTAGTGTGTGTGTGTATTGATATCTGTCCATCTATCTGTCTCTTTCTCTTTCTCTCTATTAGGTGCCTCACCATGGTGCAGGAGATCTGAGTTCAATTCCTGGTGTTTGGGGGGGGGGGGGGGGGGGGGGGAATGTTATTGTGTTTTTAGGTATTTCTGCGGGGATGTTGTATCCCTCTCAGCCCAGGTTGGCCCTTGCCACAAGTACCCATGAACACGACACATTACGCATGCGTGTAGCTAGGCTTAGGGCCTGAAGTCATCAGCACACCGCAGCCCTCTCTCGCTTCACCCGCTGCATGTGCTTGCTTGCAGTGGTGTGGCTTGCGTGGGCTTGCTCCATCACTGCGTTACTCTCTCTCTCTCTCTCTCTCTCTCTCTCTCTCTCTCTCTCTCTCTCTCTCCCTCCCTCTCTCTCTCTCCCTCCCTCTCTCTCTTTTTACACATTGTTAACAAGCCTTTGCCCCGGCTATAACCGATTGGGCTCCCATGAGGCCCTTTTATTGTCGATAACTTTTAATAGAGACAAAGAATAGGAAAAGACGGGGATTTATGGTTTCCACTGTACATATTGTAGGCTTTTCAACTGCTGTACCGTAATACAATGATTCATGGGTCTACCTTTTTGTTACATTAAACAGCTTATTGTTGATTCAGTTGAAACTTGTTCTTTTGTAAATGACATTTTTGTTGATATTTTCCATTATACCTTGCCCACATATATTGATATATTGTGTCACTATTGTTACAGAGATCCACTGTGGGGAATTTGTTTTGCTGAATAAACTTTGTGCAAATTGAGCCAAACTTGAGTAACTTCACTTCGATGTCCAGATAGACTTGTCCTAAATTGCTATTTCCGGCGACTTACTTCAGGGGATGGTAGATCTAGATCGACATATCTGCCAGCTGTCAAAAGTGAACTGAGCCCAGATTTGTAAAAGAAATATTAATTCTGGTATTGTTTGCATGTGTTCAAGAACTAAAATCTATTTTGTTGAAATTCAAATCAAATTCTACATTTATAGCCTAGGGGGCTCTCGTAGCCTAGAGGTTAAGGTTGTCGCCTCTCATTCCAAGGTGTCCTGGTTCGAATCCGGGTAGCGACGGAAAAATTTTCTTCTCTAAAACTGTCTCCTTTCACTTCCTTTCCTGCTCTCTAGAAATGTTTTGTCATCTGCTTTTTCATCTCCACTTTCTGCCCTCACCCCCTCACCTCCTTTGCACCCTCCTCTGGGCTCCTGACTCTTTCTGTAGCCTTTCTACTGTCACGATATGGTACTGGACTCCGTAGAAAATTCTCCTAACAAATCTTTCCTTATCCTGTCTGACACTGTCTTGCATCACCTCACTTACAAACTACACACTCTTTACAGCCAAAATAGTTAGGTTAAAAAAAAAAAACACGCTTTGGCTGAACCTGGGAAAAGTATCGTGTTCCCATGGCTACCTAGCCATGTGGGCATCAGAGTAAACGAGCAAGTGGACCTCCTGGCGAAAGAACCCTTGTCTCTTCTGTTAGGATCAACAGCGAACACTCCAACACGAATTGACTTTAAAAATAAAGTAAAAAACTACTCCTCTAGTCTAGTTTAGTTTAGTAAAGAGTTTTTCGGCACTTGCAACACAATAAGGTCATATAAGTGCAGAAGATTAGAGGTGTTACAAGAGAGTAACAACAAACGTAAAAAAGAAGGAGGAGAGATAAGGACGATAGATGTTTAAGAGGAAAGAAGGAGCAAACCACACCAGAGCACCCGCCAACCACCCACTCCTCTAGTCTGTGGGAGACTCATTGGAAGAAACAAATAAATAATAAACTGATGGTTTATGTCTGGCTCAAATAACTATTTCTCTGACGAGGAAATCTCCCATCGCCAATCCCAGCTTGCATGCAACTACATGCACTTGTCTTTTATTGAGTCACTAGACTAAGACTCAGTTCAGGGGCCAAATGCGTCTAGAATCTTAAAATTTCAGAGTACCTGTCACTCATAAGTCCGTGTGACGAGTAGAAAAACAAATTTTCTCTGCTCTCTTCCAAACCCAATCAATCCTAGGCTAGATAGGACACATAACCTACACATCGAGGCCACACACAATGACAGCACCTTGGCTTGACTGTCGGGGAGCAGCACTGGCTGATGGCGTGTGCGCAAATTTCTTATGCAACGGTTCAGCAAGGGGAAGAGCTGCCTGTCGTGAGAGCAGAACCTATCTATTCACAAAATTCAAAGACCTGACTGACTTATAATGCTGTTTGAATGTTACTTCCATTAGAAGCAATCTCTTGCCTGTGCTGACAGTGTAGACTTTCTGTCCCCGTGGTTTTTTGCACCCCGCATAATTTACATTTTTGGGCTCAGTTTGCATAATTCCAGAATTTTTCTTCCATATAACTATAACGAGGACAGTACTAAAAACTAAAGGAAAACATGATGACAATGGACAAGTCATCCTGTGTCAGCTGGAATCTGTCAACTAGTTTACCTCTAGGCTCTGACAGCAGTAGGCAACCTGAAGGACTTACTCAACTCATCCACGGCCCTGATGAACTGAATGCTCTCAGACTGGTAATCATAAGGTCGTGGGTTCAAATCCCGTCAGGGGCCCGACGTGTGTCTTTGGGAAAGGCATGTCACTCAAATTTTTACTCACTTCACCCAGATGGGAATGGGTACCCAGCTATAAACAGTGAAATACCTAGTCAGTTAGTTAGTGTTCAAATGCTTAATCAGCTGCTTGGACTGTATGCTTCTCAGGAAGCTGAGAATGTTTCTGAGTGTTCTATGGTCTGCTAGGGTAGGTAATAGTACAGTGGAAAGCGCACAGAGCTTGCTGTCCAGCGGGGTTATGCGCTATACAAATTATGCTATAAATTATTATTATTAATAAATAAAATAAGCCTGACTTTCAGCTAATTCTTTAAAGATTACTTGTTTTTTTTCAAGTCAGATTTTTACAGCTCTCATGACTACTCTTAGTTTTAGTAGATGTTTAACGGCACTCGCAACTGCATACGGTCATATGAGCGCCAGAAGATGAGAGGTGTTACAAGAGAGTAACAAACATAAAAAAGAAGTAGTGGAGATAAGGACGATAGATGTTTGATAGGAAAGAAGAAGCAAACCACACCAGAGCACCCGCCAACCACCCACATGACTACTCTGACTCCCTCCTTTCATCATACACTTCATATAGCCAGTGAACTGAAAGAAAAGTAGAACAGAACTAAGAACTGTTCAACAGACAAGCAAAGCTCTTAAATAAAAGTCTCAACCAATCAAAAACAAACCAGGTAGGTATGAATGAAGTGATTGTTGTCAGTTATAGTACGGTACAGAACAAAATCATCAGTCAGGATCAACGCATCACTCACATTCAGAAATAAATTTAACAAAGTCAAATACAGATTTTTTTCACTCCCTCTTTTACTGTTGTCTCTAACCATAAGTAGTACTAAAAAAAAGTTAGCAAGAATGCGACACACTCTTATCATAAGACCCAGATAACAAAGAACAGAAACAAGTCCTGTGTGATACAGCACCATCTAAATGCTAACAATGCTAGCTAGCTAGCTGGAACTGGACATGATTATTTGTGTCAAGACATGGTGCAATCAGGCTCTCCTCAAAATGTTCAAAGTGAAGAAACCTGCATTTTTCTGCAGGTTTGTGAACTTTTATCAAATTTTTTTGTTTTTTGGCTCAACACTTTTCATGCCCATTAAAGAATTCATTTCTGTGTGGATTTTTCTGAAAAATGTTGATTAAAGGCACAAAAAATGTAACTTTTCAGTTACCACGGACTCTTAAGCTAAGGAAATAACTAATCTCTGGTGGCCATTTTCTCACTAAATTTACCTCTGAAAACAGGTGACCCCAACCTCCTTCATTCGCAAATATCTAGACTTGTATTCAAGATAAATGGATATTTTTTTCATCCAAATAAAGACAAGTGAACAAGCTTTATTAAGGTGATACCAATAACTCTACATGCCCGAAAATTGACGAGAGCCTGATTCCACCACGCTGCCTCACATTTCATTTCTACACGATGAAGAAAAATTCTGTTGCAGAGCCATTTTCACAGCAAGTCTGACTAAAAATCTGAACATTCTCAAAAGTCACACCGCAGCTCAAAAAAACCCAACAACACTGTTCCATAAAGTCAGTAGACCACAGAGCGTGGAAATGGTCGAGCAAAATGTTGAGAAAACACTAACCTTCACCTAGCACATCAGGCACACGAACTTGTAACTCTTTGTAAGGAAAGCAAATTTACTTTACACACCATTCTTAGATTTCAATATCAGTACACACTTCCACATGACCCTACTCAAAAACTCAATGGACATACTTGCGTATTCGGTAAGTTAATTTCATTTACATGGTCCCACTTTTTAAAAAATCACATGCTCAAAAGAAAATAAAAAAGATTAAAATATCACACAGAACAGAATTTTTAAACAAAATGACAGCATATATATATAGATATATATACGTGGCTTTTTTGTTTGTTTTAACAACAAATGAAACGGTACATAAATTATTATCAATGACAAACCATTGCAATCACAACTAAGGAAAATGTGACCATACATTCGAAATAAATAAATCAAAAAGCGTTACAAAAGCAATGAGTAACAAAAAATGACCCAAAATGAATAGATGTAAAAACATAAGTCCACAGAAGCTGATAAAGTGAATAGAAAACACAAACATATTGGGGTTACACAATACGTGCAGGCAGGCCGATACAACAATCCAACGCCTCGTAGTGTATTCTTCTTTCTTCGGCATGTGATCGTAAGAAAAGACAATCTCAACAATACGGACGTGAAACATCCGTATTCACAGCCTACTTTTGCGTTGAACAACATCCAGCGTTGCAGGAAAGGGCACCAAATCGACAGCCACTCAACTCAAAGTAAAATTCTTTGAAACCTCGAACTGCGCTTTATGAACCTGAACACATAATTCGCAGAAAAAAATCAACTTTACAAATTGCAGCATGCTGGCGGTTGTTTCATGACGTAAATAAGACCCATAGAAAAAAAACAACCCATCAGTGAGTAGGAATTGAAAACAGACTTCACATACTCATTACACAAAATTAAAATCTCTCATACAAATTTTTCCAACACACGATGGTGAAAATGATTTTCAGATCAAGAACTTTCTATCCGAAATCTATGTGAACATTCTTCTATGACATCGATAGGAAAAAAATAAACTACAAATTGAACACCAAATTGGTCGCTTTTAGGTGTATTGTTTGGTTATAAAGAAAAATCTCCTTCGTTTTTTTTAGAGAAACTGAACAAGAGTTCAAAAACTTTCACTTTGATTTTCTCAAAACAGCATTTTCTGGGACAGCCCCCTTGTGCTTAAAAGCGACCAATTGTAAGGATGGCAACAATCTCATTCACACACACACTCGTATGAATCACAGTGGCAAAAAATCTCTTTTAGTTATCAAAAGCTTCATTCAAGAACTTCCCATCTAAAACAGAGAGGAACACAAACGTGTACTTCACTTCACTCTCAGACCAATACAACTGCTCACACTGCTCAAATGGAATCCGAATTCGCCTCAGTGTTGTTTGTCTCGGGCATGATGTAGGAGATGTCATCCCATGGATGGCGGTACAATCCCTGCTTCAAACGCTTCTGATCCAAAAAGTGGCCTGAAAATAAGAGAAAAAAAGTTATAGAAGATTCGTATAAAACGATACGATAATCCAAACTGAAAATTTTATTCAAAACAAATGTTATAGAAGATGGTATAAAACGATACGATAATCCAAACAGAAAATTTCATTCAAAACAGATTGGCCAATGTGGGGTTCAACTTTTTTGTTAGCAACTCCTCTGATGAGTATTACACTAAATTACAGCCTCACTTAATTTCTTTTCTTCTATTGAAAAAAACCCAAAACAACCTATCTACATAAGAACAGAAACCTAGTGGTTTTCATGAGAGAGATGAGCTGAATCCATATATTCAGTCTTCAGCACTTTAAGTTTGTTTAACAAAACTAATCACATTTTTTTTTTAAACCCACAAAAAACCTAGCTGTACAAAAACAAAACCCCATTAGGTAAGAGCTATACAAATTTAGATTCTCATCGGGTAATTTGAGGCCAGCATTTTTCTTCCTGATGAGAGGAATGATAAGATGAGATAAAATACATCTTTATTGTTCAGATCCTGGCACATTGGTTTGGAGTTAACAACGGACATACATACACACACACACAAACATGCATACACACATGTGCACACCAATATACACACCCACACTTCCCTCACACATCTGTGCACATAACTATAATAATATATTGTATGCTTGCAGAACCAGTGACCCCCTGGGGCTGTGCTACTGACTGAAGTGTCTTTAGGCCATTCCCAAAGGGGGGACATTAACCATGTTCTTATGCACAGTAGAATAGTTATAGTAAATGGGCTAATTCATCAATGTCATGCTCATAACTGTGCCTGAACTGCAACAGGCAACTGCTGCTTTTTCTTTCTTAATCCTTAGTAAATGGGCTGATTCATCAATGACATGCTCATAACTGTGCCTGAACTGCAACAGGCAACTGCTGCTTTTTCTTTCTTAATCCTTACTATCATCATTTTTCCTCTTTTTCTTTTGTATGTTTGTCACACTCTTGTGACCTGCTATTTCCGGGGAGCCTTGATAGTCGAAGCAGACTTTGTGCTGTTGAAGCTAGAGAGGTGAGCAGAGTAAGTCTGATTCCCTGTGTAAGAACTTCCCTGTTGACACCCACCCCTTGGCGCTCAAATGACTTTACGCAGTCACGAGCGTCCTAAAACCTCTACTAAAACTAAAAACCCATGAAACCCTTTTCTGATACCCTGAATCTGCAGTGTGCCTACTGGGCAGTTCAGTGAAAATTTCAAAGTTGTCTGATATGCTTTGAAATACTATCATTCGAAAGCCCTTGCTTTATTGGTCATAAAACAGTTTAAATTGTGTTGATATCATTATGGGTTAAAAAGTTTTATGGCCATTTTTCATACCTAAAATCCGGCCAATTTCAGACCATTTTTAAAACTGAGTTTTTGTGACGCCAAAATAAAACTTTACAAGACAAATGAAGCGATCCAGCAACACTACAGACTCGGGAGCAGGCCGTAAAACCTGTACTAAAACCAAAGAGTCTACATAACAAGAGGGTTCACTCCTCTCTTTGAGCCAATTAAAAAAGTGTCCTCAAAATTCGGTGGCGCCCTCTTCACAAATACGCACCCTTTGCGAACAGAGTTACCCTACTTGTGTTAAAAAAATCAAAGTGAAACTAACAAGTTTTTGAATTTTAATAAGAATTCAAATTTCGGAAGAACGCTTTTTTTGGTTACGCTGACAAAAAGCCTCTTCCGGAAGTGTTTTCTTCGTTTAATTTGACTTTAGAATGTGAGGCAAGACGTCATTAAAATTAAAAACCTAAAACTCCGCACTGAACGAACCCCAACAGCTGATGAACAGCAGTTGATCTGCGCACGCAAGGAGGTGCTATTCCTATTCTTCTTCTGGAGAAACGAAAGAGAGCTTCAAAACAGACTGCAGCGTCATCTGAAGCAAAGAGTGGGCTTCCGGTGGACACTTTTTAGGCAGAGTGGACCATCTTGTTATGTACTATCTTTGCTAAAACTAAAGTAGCAGAACCAGCAGAAGACCGAGACTCACCAATGAATCCCATGCTGCGGCCCAGGACAAAGAGGGCGTTCAGAGCACCGATGTCGAGGAACTCCTGAGACTCCTCCCTGTGGAAAGACACAGCAACATTCATCAACAAAATGTGAGGCATCGAGGGGGAAATCAGGCGCTTGTCAGAATAATGAAATCAAAGAAACTGGAAACTGGCATTTTTCTTCCCCTATGGCAATTTTTATTTTTATCGAAATTTTGTTGTTGTTGTTGACTCAACACCTTATGTGACCTTATTGTGTTGCAAGTGCCGTAAAACTCTTACTAAAACTTTTTTTAAATCTTAAAAGCTCAACACCTTTTATGTCTATTTAAAAATACATTGCGGTGGATTTTAATTAAAATGTTAATGTTCAGTTTCCAAGGACTCTCAAGCTTTGGAAGTCACCAAACTTTGGCGGCCATTTTCTCGCTAATTTTACCCCTGAAACCAGGTGACCCCCACTTCCTTCAGTCTAAAATATCTTGACTTCTATTTAAGCTAGATCGGTACTTTTTTCATCAAAAGTGAGACAAATGAATAAGATATAAGACGATATCAATAACTCTATATGCCCAAAATTAGATGAGCGCCTGATTCTACCGCGTCATGACATAAATATTTCAACAAGAAAAATGTTTGTTCATTATTTTAAGTCAATAACATAATACATGGGTCAGTGTGATGAAATCAGGCTCTCGTCAAAGTACTGAAATCACAGAAACAAGACATTTGTCCATCCATAGGTCAATTTTTATCAATTTTTTTTTTTGGGGGGGGGGGGGGGGGGCTCAACTTCCAGCACACAAAACGAAGCCTGTACCTTGTGAAGCAGCCACAGTTGCGGAGGAGATCGACAAACGCAACACCGATCATTCCATCCACGTTGAGGATCAAGTTCGGTTTCTGTGGGGACACAAATGAAACAATTATAGCATCGACTTGAACCGAACATCATGTACTAGCGATGCAATTTGAACAATTCTAACATATCCCCCCCCCCCCCCCCCCTTTATAAAAGGAACAGAGAAAAGACGAGATATGATGGTAATGAGCACAAAAACCAGCGAGCACTGAGACGCTGAGACACTGAGACACTGGGACACTGAGACACTGAGACACTGAGACACTCGGACACTGAGACACTCGGACACTGAGACACTGAGACACTGAGACACTCGGACACTGAGACACTGAGACACTGAGACGCTGAGACACTGAGACACACAGACACTGAGACACACAGACACTGAGACACTGGGACACTCAGACACTGAGACGCTGAGACGCTGAGACACTCGGACACTGAGACACTGAGACACTCGGACACTGAGACGCTGAGACGCTGAGACACTGAGACACTCGGACACTGAGACACACAGACACTGAGACACTGAGACACTGAGACACTCGGACACTGAGACACTGAGACACTGAGACGCTGAGACGCTGAGACACTGAGACGCTGAGACACTGAGACACACAGACAGACACTGAGACACTCAGACACTCAGACACTCAGACAGACACTCAGACACTGAGACGCTCAGACACTCGGACACTGAGACACTCGGACACTCGGACACTGAGACACTCGGACACTGACTGAGACACTGAGACACACAGACACTGAGACACACAGACACTCAAGACACTCAGACACTCAGACACTCAGACACACAGACACTCGGACACTCGGACCCTCAGACACTCAGACACTCAGACACTCAGACATACAGCACCCTATCCTAAGAGATCTTTAAACATTCAAGACAGAAAAACTAACTTGAAAAATATAATAATAAAACATGAAAAACAATTTCTTCTACAAAGATTAGCAAATAGCTAAAAACAAAGATCAGACTTAAGTCCATTCAGTGAGAACAAAAATTTCACAAACACAAACAAGAAAGTCGCTTTTAAGAACAAGGGTCTATCCCGAAAAAAGCTGTTTTGAGAAAATCGAAGGTGAAGTTTTTGCCCCTTGTTCAGTTTCTTTAAAAGACAAGGAGAGTTTTCTCTATAACCAAACAAATATAAACAAAAATGAAACCAAACTTCTATACGTATGGCAATGCCCACTTTTGGTGTAGGTCAAGATTTCTGGAAACCCCTGAAATCTGGTTTAGCCCGCTTGTCCTTAAAAGCAACCATTTTAGACCTTGGAAATCTGATTGTGACTGCGATGTGACAGTTTCAGTACATTCTACAGTCTTCCCACATTATAATTTCACACACTACAGTGTTGTTCCCGACGCCAGAATGGCGTTCCCGACACCAGAACGGCGGGCCTCCTCACCTTGGATGTCGTGATCTTCTCCACCTCCAGAGCAAAGTCCAGCAGCGGGGTAGCAGGGAAATGTTTCTGGGCGTACTCCTTGAGGATCACCACTCGCATGTCTGGGTTGTTCAGCTGTCAGAGGGGTGGGTAGATGGTTAGTCACTTTCACAGGGTTTTTTTTCGGGGGGGGGGTTGGTCTCTTTTGTTAATTTATTTTTATTTTGGAAGGGGGAGTGGGGCGTCTAAGAGTATCATACTTCAGACTTCATATATTCAGACAATGTGATGCTTAGTATAAACATAGTGTAACAGTTTTCTTTTTTTTTCGTTTAGTAGAGGTTCTACGACGCTCACAACTGCTTAAAGTCACTTGAGCGCCAAGGGGTGGGTGTCAACAGAGAAGTCCTTACATTGCAGGGAATCGGGCTTACTCTGTTTATCTTTCTAGGTTCAACAGCACAAAGTCTCCTTCGACTATCAAGGCACCCTGCAAATAGCAGGTCACAAGAGTGTGACAAAAATACAAAAGAAGTAGAGGAAAAAATGACGATAGTAAGGATTAGGAAAGAAAAAGCAGCAGTTCCCTGTTGCAGTTCAGGCACAGTTATGAGCATGACATTGATGAATCAGCCCATTTACAATTACAATTGTACTGTGCATAAGAATATCATTAATGTCCCCCCTTTGAGAATGGCCTAGAGACATTTCAGTCAGTAGCACCGCCCCGGGAGGTGGGAGACTGTTAGCCCCTTTCACAGGTTTTTTTTTTCAGTTTTGTTCTCTTTTGTTAATTTGCTATTTTTATTTTGGAAGGGGGAGTGGGATGTCTAAGAGTATCATACTTCAGACTTCATATATTCAGACAATGTGACGCTTAGTACAAACGTAGTGTAACATTTTACCATATCTGAAGTGGGCCTGTGCCGTGAAAAGGGAAAGGTCAATTCTATGCAAAAATCTGTTTTCAAGACACGGGAGCGTGTCAACTGAGAGTTAATAAAATAGTGAGGTAAGTTGCATTATAAGAATTTGAGGTCAGTACAATACTGAAGGTAACAAATGAAGGAAATAATACGACATCTGCAACATTATTATAACTTATCTGCCGTGCCAAGGCAGAGCGACGTATCGGCACTTTTTAAAATTTTGAGTTACGTCGCACTGCCATTGGAAATATGGGCATGGCCCTTCAGTTACGTCTGTTTGCCATAGTGAAATATCATATTTGTAGTGCAGATACGTCTTCCTGCCTCTGACACAAGATGCAGAATGGGTATAGGTGTCCATTTAAACGAAGATACAAAATATTAATAATTTTTGCAGATACGTCGGTCTGCCTTGGCATGGCAGTTATGTTGTAGTGTTTCATTAACAGGCAACATTTTTTTAAAAACTCCACTTATTTCAAGCTAAGTTGAATCAACTGCCATACATATATAAACCGCTAAGTAAAGAAAAGGACTTAGATAACCAAACAGAAACTTGCTTGCTTACAGATTTCACTCTGTGGCCAATACCCATGATAAGGGAGCCCTTCTTGCGCATCTCGTTCACAAACTCCATGGGGATAATACCGCTGTCCCGGGCACTGCTAAACTGCTTCGCAGCAGCATCCAAAGCACCACCAAACCGGTCTCCCTGTGAACAGTCAAAACCCATGGCACTGAGAATATAATTCTACATTTCCACATTATTAGCGGGGGGAGATGACACTAAGTGTTCAACAAACTATGAAAATATTTTTGCAAGACACATTCATTTTTTATGACCAATCTCAAAGTAAAGTAAGTTTTATTTCACATGACCACTCATACATCGAAATTACACATTTGAAATTGCCTAAATTTTACAAGACTAGAAATACATCATGTAACTAGGACATAAAATGTACACGAGAAAAAAGGTAAATATTCAAAAGTGGTCAGTAACTCTTAAAAATGTTCCTTTTCCTTACCCACAACCCCCCTTACAAACAAAAACCCACCTGGAAAATAAAAAAAACAAATAAAAAAGAATCTTGGCAAATTACAAACATTAGGCAATGAATCGGTCGCTTTCAAGAACAAGCAGGCTAACCCAGGGGGTTCCAGAAATCTTAACCTGCATTAAAAGTGGGCATTGCCCTACCAAAAAGAGAAATTTGGTCTCATTGGTGTGTATAATTGTTTAGTTATACAGAAAACTCTCCTTGTGTTTTAAAAAAACTGAACAAGGGGCAAAAACTTTACCTTCAATTTTCGCAAAACAGTATTTTTCGGGGTAGCCCGCTTGTGCTTAATTAAAAGCGACCAACTATCTGCACCCAACTTACAATGGTAAGAAGACCAGAGGTGAGAGAGGAAATGAGATCCTTGCCGGCGCGGGCACACACGATGGTGTTGTGGGCCCCAGAGACGGCCGGTCCGTGGTCAGCAGTCACCATGAGGCACATCTCAATGAACTTGGCCGCGTAACGTGGCAGTCTGTGAGGGGACGAGACAAAACATATATAAGATACTAGCTGGGCCCCCTTTCGAGGAAAGGAATGATCGGTGCATTAACATAAACTGAAAGTCATTGGTCTAGGCTACTATATTTACACTCTACTGGAATGAAGCAGTAAATCTTGAGAGAAGCAAAAAATTAGAATGTCTAGATCTAGATCTATACTCTCAAAACAAAATGCGCCTCACAAAATATCACTTCCGCACCGGATTTTCTAAAATTACAGAGACAGAAGCGTCGGCCTACAAAAGCGATCAGTGAAATGAAGAAATTTAGCTTTTTGCAGCAAAACTGTCTCAAAACTGAAAAAAACGAAGGGCGTCATGATCTGGAGAATATTTTAAAGAATCTTTGGGCGAAAACCGCATGTCAATCGATGCAGCCATTAAAAAGCCCTTTGAATAGCAAAATTCGGCCACCGCAAATAGGTAATAGATAAGATAAGATAGTTTTAGTAGATGGTTTTACGGCGTTCACAACTGCATAAGGTCATACGAGCGCCAAGGGGTGGGAGTCAACAGAGAAGTCTTTACTGGGAATCAGACTTTGCTCACCTTTCTAGCTTCAACAGCACAAAGTCTGCTCGACTATCAACTTCTTTTATATCTTTCTTTCTTTGTTTTTGGAGGTACATCTGCCACTGCATAATCTTACAATTTGCGAGGAAAGATATGCACCTCCAAAAAATATGTGAGGCAGCGTGGTGAAATCAGGTGCTCGTCTAAACAATCAAAGTGAAGAAACTGGCATTTTTCCGCAGGTTCAGGAATTTTGTATCGACTTTTTGTTTTTTTGGCTCAATACCTTTCATGCCCATTAAAGAACACATTTCTGTGTGGATTTTACTGAAAAATGTAGAGTAAAGGCAAAAAAGATGTAAATTTTAGGCTTCCGCGGACTCTCAAGCTTAGGAAATAACTAAACTTTGGTGGCCATTTTCTCACTAATTTTACCTCTGAAACTAGGTGATCCCCACCTCCTTCAATCCCAAATACACTTGTATCCAAGATAAATGGATATTTGTTTTCATTGAAAGCAAAGCAGATGGACAGGCTTTAAGATTTTTTAACTTGCCAAAACACGAGGAAACGAACCTTCTCTGAAACCACAGCAGACTGAGCACTCCGCCGATGCCCATGTCCTCCTTGAAGATGTCTGTGATGGGAATGCCTGCATACAGGAGTTCGTGGCCTCTCTCATCACAAATACTGGTCATGAAGGATGCTGGCTTCCTGATCAAACCCAGTTCCTGAAAAATTGAAAGTGGGACAGCTTTTCATACCTACACGAATACTGTGGCACCGTAACCACTTACAAATGTATCATATATATCTCTGATACATGAAAGTCATGGTTTCATCAAACTACAAGGGGGATTCTCGTGGTCTAGAGGTAAAGGTATTCACCTCTCATACAATAGTTACCGGGTTCGGATTCGACAGAGAACAGATCTTGTAATTTTTTTGCATTTAAAATTCTTCCCTCAGGCTTCTCCAAAGTCTGGGAATTCTGTTAAAATGTGACTAATGGTAAAATCTGTGTCGCATCCGACACAGAACTGTTTCTCACCTCCCCGCAGGAGGTATTATCTGTCAGGGACGTGTGTCCGATGCGCAATCACGTAAAAATGACTTCGTCTCTTCTGGAGAGGCCCGAAAGTTAAATTTTGTCACTGGGAATAGTGACAGTGAGAAGTGAACAGAGGGAGGAGTGAACAGAGTGAGAAATGAACAGAGTGAGAAATGAAGAGAGTGAGAGAAGTGAACAGAGTGAGGAGTGAACAGAGTGAGGAGTGAACAGAGTGAAAAGTGAACAGAGTGAAAAGTGAAGAGAGTGAGAGAAATGAACAGAGTGAGAAGTGAACAGAGTGAGAAGGCACCAACCAACTATGCACTGAATAACTTTCTGGCATAATGACTCCTTTCAGCCTAAGGTCAAGTTTTGTTTTGTTTTAGTAGACGTTTTACGGCGTTCGCAACTGCATAAGGTCATATGAGCGCCATGGGGTCAAGTTTGTACCTACCCTGGCCCAGTTGAAGTCCATCGGCACTGTGGGAGGAGCGGTCTCTGGTTTCGGCACGATGGCGCCTGCATTCACAAGCTTGGTGAACACCTCCCTACACGAGGAAAGAGAAAGAAAAGTGGATAATTTAACTCAATTAGAATAATAAATACTTATTTCAGCCAGTGCTGTTTAATTCTGTCACTGGGAATAGTGAGAAGTGAACAGAGTGAGGGGTGAACAGAGTGAGGGGTGAACAGAGTGAGGGGTGAACAGATTGAGAAGTGAACAGAGTGAGAAATGAACAGAGTGAAAAGTGAACAGAGTGAGAAGTGAACAGAGTGAGAAATGAACAGAGTGAAAAATGAACAGAGTGAGAAATGAACAGAGTGAGAAATGAACAGAGTGAACACCTGCATTCACAAGCTTGGTGAACACTTCCTCCCTACACGAGAACAGAGAAAAAGAAAGTGGATTTTAAAAAGTTTTAGTAAGAGTTTTACAGCACTTGCAACACAATAAGGTCATATAAGTGCCGAAGATTAGATGCGTTACAAGTAGGGTTGGGTCGGGCTCGCAAAATTAGCGTCCGCGAGTAACGAACTACTCGTTGGCACTACCCGCAAATTATAGGACGGGTAACGAACCGTCCGTTTGTGAAGAGTAGTTCGCTACTCGCTACTCACTACACATCGGAGAGAGACAACAGTTCGTTTAGCGAGCGAGCGGACGGGCGGACCGAGAGACTCCATGCATTCGAGCGGACGGATGGACGGGAGCGACTCCTTCCATTGCATACAATTGCAACCCCCGCCCCCCCCCCCCCCCCCCCCAAAAAAATAATTAATTAAAAAATCACCCTCCTGCCTCACATTGTAGCTAGGCGTTCATGGCGGAAATTTCCGCTCCCCCGCCCTATGAGATAATTGGAACGTACACAGTGTGCCCCACACACGAGGTGAAAGGTTACACACATAGTACTACGTCACAAGCCTCTCTCATTCCCTGTGGCACCGCTAGTGGTTTGAAACATCAGGCGTAATTAACAAACAATAGACGACGCGTCTAATCTTGCGTCGAGTATCTCGTCTGCTAGAGTTCGTCCGTTTACCCGCTCGCCCAGTGAATAAAATTGTGGAGCGGACCCAAAAAACGAACTGACTTGAGGCTTGAGGTCTGCAGTCCGCTCGCTGAGAGAGTCAAATTGTGGGGCGGACCCAAAAAAAGAACTGTCTTGAGGTTCGCAGTTCGCTCTCATGGCCGTCCGTTACCCGTTTGCTCTGACTGAGTCCGCGAGTAACGAACCCGTCCGTCCGCTCACCCCAACTTTAGTTACAAGAGAGTAACAAACACAAAAAAGAAGGAGGAGAGATCACGATGATAGATGTTTGATAGAAGGAAAGGAGCAAACCACATCAACGCACCAGTCAACCATCCACAAAGAAAGTGGATAATTTCACTCAATTAACATAATAAATACTTATTTCGGCTAATGCTAAACTACCGTTTAAGTAAACTACCTATGCATTTCTTCAACTTTTCAAAAAGAATAAGGTCTTTCACAAATGTACAAAATTTCTTTTATCTTCCAAGTATTCTGACAACAGAACCTTATGTCAAAAAGAAAGGTCAAAAAAGGTTTTCACGATTGAAGACATAAGAAAAACCTAAATCTATCTCAAAAGTCTGAGGTTAAAGTTTTATTTAACACTGAAGAGGGCCTAGCGTTATTTAAAAACAATTTTGAGCCAAAAATTGATGAAGGTAGATCGTACTGTATTGCTGTTCCCAATTCGTCAAAGCTGCGTGGCACGGTAGCTCCAGCAGCCCTGAGAGCATCGTTCTTGGCACTGGCAGTCTCGGCGTCCGCGTTGGCACAGGCTCCAGCATGACCAAACTGGACCTGCGTGGACACAGAGAAAAAAGTAGTCGAATTTGAGTAACGACCACCTGTTCGAGACAACCACCTGTCCAAACAACCACTCCCCCCCCCCCCCTTTAGAAAAAATATCTTTTAATGACAGTGACATCCGTCTATCTGAGAAACCACTTTTCTTTGAGCAGTTAGTTTCAAATGTTCTATGATGACCACTTTTCTTTGAACAGTTAGTTTCAACTGTTCTATGATGACCACTTTTCTTTGAACAGGTAGTTTCAACTGTACAAAGATGACCACTTTTCTTTGAACAGGTAGTTTCAACTGTACTAAGATGACCACTTTTCTATGGACAGTTAGTTTCAACTGTTCTAAGATGAAGAGTGAGCTGCACTTTACACTACTTCACAGTCAGTTTTAGTCATTTTTTAGTTTTAATAAGAGTTTCACGACACTTGCAACACAATAGAAGTCCTATAAGTGTCGAAGATTGGAGGTGTTACAAGAGAGCAACAAACACAAAAAAGAAGAAGGGGAGATAAAGACGATAGATGTTTGATAGGAAAGAAGAAGCAAACTGCACCCGAGCACCCGCCAACCACCCACTTCACAGTCAGTAAGAAAGACAAAAGCCACATTTAACTGTAAAAGACAAACAAATCGTCACATCATAACTACTTTGTCTAAAGTGCTCTCTTTACTTAAGTACATTTTGGATTAAATAATTCTGAGGCGACGATATATATATATTTGAAGAGAGCTCTTCTGATATGAGAAAACAAAAGTTACCAGCTCAAAAAAATGAAATGGTGAAATGGTACGGGTTTAACGCCAATATTAGGTTATTTAAGGGGCGGGACCTCCTAGTTTAACGCCCGTCTCCGATAGGACCGATCCAAGTGGGAAGTTCGTGTAAAGTGCATTTCCCAAGGACACAACGTCGGACCGAGCTGAGGCTCGAACCCTCGAACCCGCATTCTCACAATTACGAGTCCGGTAGCCTAACCACTAGGCTACCGACGCCACTCGACCTGCTCAAACATTTACTACCTTACAATTACAACAACTAGACACTAGCAGCACGTCAGAAGACATCACTATTGTCATTAACCCCTTCATGACACAGGGTCAGTTCGTGCTTCACCGGGCACAGTTTGGGATCCCCAGGGACTCAGAGTAGCGCTAGATTTTGTGGTCAGTTTCCTATAAACAGACCCGGTTTGCAAATACTACTAACTATATCTAAAGGAAATAGATTTCTTTGTACAGACAAAATATTCCCAAAAGCAAATCTGCAACTAATTTACGAAATGCATCCAATAGAAGCAGTATGCAGAATGTTGTTTTAGTAAGAGTTTTACGGCGCTCGCAACTGCATAGGGTATGCAGAATATGGCCTATGACGTACAGTGTTCCTCATCATGGTCCTCGCGCTTCGCAAAGTATGTTGAACGCGGTACGTCACAGCAGCATTTTGGCTCATTTGCGGTGTGCCGTGTAAGAAAAAAGTATGAACGGCAAACGTCATATCGGTCACAAAGGTGTAAAAAGGGCTTTTCCAACATAAACTCACCTCTGATGTGAACATCTTGGCGCAAGTTCCAATACACCATGCGATGACAGGTTTGTTCACAGCTCCAGATTTCAAAGCTTCGACAAGTTGGTACTCTTCAACACCTCCAACCTAAGGACAGAAGTCACAGTAACAGACAGTTAGTTATAGTAGATGGTTTTACCGCGCTCGCAACTGCATAAAAGATCATATGAGCACCAAGGGGTGGGTGTCAACAGAGAAGTCTTTACAGGGAATCAGACTTAGACTGCTCACCTCTCTAGCTTCAACAGCATAAAGTCTGCTTCGACTATCAAGGCACCCCAGAAAGAGCAGGTCACAAGAGAGTGACAAATATACAAAAGAAGTAGAGGAAATGGCAATAGTAAGGATTAGGAAAAAAAAAGTAGCAGTTCCCTGTTGTAGATCAGGCAGTTATAAGCGTGACATGATAAATCAGCCCATTTACAATTCTACTGTGCTTGAACGAGAAATGTCAATGGAGAGTCCTTGGAAACTGAAAATTTACAGTTTTCAGAAAATTCCACACATAAAACATGGACATAAAAGGAGTTGAACCAAAAAACAAAAATTATAAAAAATGCGGCGCCAAACCAGTCGAAAAATGCCGGTTTCTTCGATTTCAATGTATAGACGAGTGCTTGATTTCACCACGAAACCTCGCAAATGTACAGAGAATTCCCAGTGGTTGGCGTTCACATTTTAAACGTTAGTGTGAGTTCATTTCTTACCTCTCCCAGGAGTACAATCATCTTCACATCAGGATTCTGTTGATATCTCCAGATATGATCCATGAAAGTGGAGCCTGGATATCTGTGTTGCAATACAAAAAGACAACGTTAATCACAAAAAAAGGATTAGTACCCAAGTCTTATTCGGTCAGCATTGACACTGACAGTGTGTGGGGGGCATTGTAACAGTGACCTTGACCATCAATGACTTATTTATAGAGGCACCAGCTATCCATGTCCAGGTGCTGTTTTAGCCTCTTTTTCCTGTATGCGGATTAATAATATCTTTTTTGTAACAGTGAAAGAGATAAAAGACAGAAAGTTTAGTTTTAGTAAGAGTTTTACGGCACTTGCAACACAATAAGGTCATCTAAAAGCCGAAGAATAGATGTGTCACAAGAGAGTAACATACACAAAAAAGGAGGAGGAGAGATAAGAACGATAGATTTTTTATAGGAAAGAAGGAGCAAACCACACCAGAGCACCCGCCAACCACCCACAAAGACAATAAATATTTATCAAACTAAGTAATGATTATTAATGAGGTGATATATCCTACATTTGCACGCCTATGTTCCAAGTTGAGTGTTTCAAGTTTCCTTGGAAAAAAAAAGGTACATTTCTGAGCTCTGAGAATTTACCTAAAATCAAGGGTCAGATTACAAATCATAGAAATAGAACAAATTATATTACTTAACATTGGATTGACACAAGAAATTCTCAGTTTCAAATCCAGCAGAATATAGATCAGATTTTACACAAAAATAACCCCATGTAGTGGTGTGGAAAAAAAGAAGAAGGAATAAAAAAAAACAACATTAGAGAACCTACCTATCAACCACAAGTTATTTCTGTATGTTTGTTTGTTTAAGTAAAAAGAAGCACATTGACACAGTAATGGTCATTTAGTGTTGGGAAAAAGTAAGACAAATGGACAGAAACAATAGGGGGAAAATAAAGAGGTAGGACCTAGCAGTGGCGCCCTCCAACCACATGCGTTATTTCTGTGACATTCTGGACCTATTTTTTAATTATTTTATTTTTATAGTAGAAGGTTTTACGGCGCTCGCAACTGCATAAGGTCATATGAGCGCCAAGGGGTGGGTGTCAACAGGGAAGTCTTAACAGGGAATCAGACTTATTCTGCTCACCTCTCTAGCTTCAACAGCACAAGGTCTGCTTCGATTATCAAGGCACCCTGGAATTAGCAGGTCACAAGAGAGTGACAAACGTACAATAGAAGTAGAGGAAAATGACAATAGTAAGGATTAAGAAAGAAAAAGCAGCAGTTCACAGTTGTAGATGAGGCACAGTTATGAGCGTGACATGAATCAGCCCATTTACAATTCTACTATGCTTGAATGAGAAATGTCCCCCCTTTGGGAATGGCCAAAAGACACGACAGTCAGTGGCACTGCCCCGGTGGGTACATTCGGGACGTGAAAACAAACTCACCTGTCCCCTCCAATGGCAATGCCCTCATTCACTCCGTCGGCGTTCAGCGCAATGATGTTGTTCAGCTCATTGGACATGCCACCAGATCTTGACACATAGGCAACACTGAAAAAAGGAGAATGTGTAGAATAAAACATGTATCTCAACAGAATGATAATAACTTTTGATTTTACTAATAAATGGTAGGAACATCACCTGTCCTCCATTACATCCGAAGGCAAACAATCAGGTGGTTTGGACATCTCACACGTATGGCACCTAACCAGCTTGCCAGTAAAGCCTACTACAGGAAAGCATCAGGGTACAAAGCAAGAGGAAGACCAAGAAAAACCTGGATCCAGGGTGTGAAGGATACCCTCAGAACATTTAATATCCCACCCAGTCAGGCCATCAAACTTGCTAGAGACAGGAAGCTCTTTCTCCCCTCGACGTCCTAGAGGTATAACAGGACGGATAAAGTAAAGTAAGATTATACTAACACGATTTAAGGTAAGATAATTTGTCACCATATCATGAACTTATAAGAAAAGGGTAATGACTCTCAAATAATGCTCAATCCAATGCCTGTGCACCTTTTCACAGTTCAGTATTTTTTAAAAAAACATCTTTGGCACCTGAAACTATTCGGGTAAAATGACATAAATCTCAAGGACACAGTATCGGACCGAGCTGGGCCTTGAACCCAAAACCAGCAATCTGAGGATTTTCAGTCTGGTAGCCTAACCAATAGACAACCAACACCACAATATGTACCCAGTTTTGTTTTCTTAACTAAGTACCTTCGTCTCTTCTAGAGAGGCCCGAAGGTTTTCGCGAACCCAGTTTGGGTCACAAATACAAGACCGGTTTGAGTTATCCATGTCAAACTGTATTTGCAAAAGACAGATTTACAGACTAGACATACCTTCCGGGGCGGTACAGTTTGGAAGCCAGAATGTTGTCCAGCATGCCTCCAGTGTTGCCAATCTTGAAGCAGCCAGGCTTCACACCTCCGACCTTTGGGGAAATTTTAAAGTAGTTTTAGTTTTAGTAAAGGTTTTACTGCGCTCGCAACTGCATAAGGTCATATGACATGAGCGCCAAGGGGTGGATGTCAACAGAGAAGTCCTTACAATTTAAAAGTAAAATTAAACAAACCCATGTAATCATTGGATAAAATGTAAAAATATCTACACAAAAAGTGCAAATTTCAAAATATTTTCAGATTCTATTAAATACAAAAAACCAACTGTTGATTTTATACAACACTGAAAAAACAACAACCCAACAACTGCAGGATGATGATTGCTCATATTTTAAGCATCAGAGTACACCACTTGAAATAATACTATTACTGGTACCAAAGTCTACTTAAAGCTTTGATTGAAATGCAACTTCCGTACATGATAACAAAAAAAAGGATGCCAACTTTATAAAATTAAATAGAAATAATAGAATCAATATAATCACTACAAACAAGAAAACATAAGGACTTACAGTGGCAGGTCCAATCATTGAGACTCCTTTTGCTTTTGCAACCTTCAGCAAATGTCTTGTGAGATTTTCAGGAATGCCCTCAGCAATGATAGATATGGAACGAATCTGAAACAAAGATAGAGAGTTAAAATAAAATTAAAATAGATTCCATTTTTACTGATCCCTGTAGGGAGATTTGGTTGACAATTAAATATTTACATAGATGCATAGTTGTCTTACTCCCTGTATCCCCAAAAGAAATACAGAATGTGACCTCAAATCAAAGTTAGTGCTTCATATGATTATTTGTGAAAGATATTTTTTTTTTATCGTTAACAGTTCTTTCTCACAAAAGTAAATCATCTATCAAAATGCTTCCATCTTAACCATCTTGTATAAGTATACTTACGACCTTAGAGCATGAATCAAAATAACATAGAGTGTGTATCTAGCTTACGATTATTATTGTTTATATTGCTGCTCATTTATATTATGCGTGTAATTGTAAGCCTACGTGTGTGTGTGTGTGTGTGTGTGTGTGTGTGTGTGTGTGTGTGTGTGTGTGTGTGTGTGAGAGAGTGTGTGCGTGTGTGTGTTTAGTTTTAGTAAAGGTTTTACGGCACTCGTAACTGCATAAGGTCATATGAGCGCCAGAAGATTACAGGTGTTACAAGAGAGTAACAAACATAAAAAAGAAGAAGGGGAGATAAGGACGATAGGTCTTTGATAGGAAAGAAAAAGCAAACCACACCAGAGCACCCGCCAACCACCCACTGTGTGTGTGTGTACAGGTGGTGAAACACCAAACCAATGTGCCAGGATCTGGACAATAAATAAGTATCTTATCTTATCTTAAATGAAACTAGTGTCACATTTTCCTGTATTGGTGGTTTGATTATATTTGTTTGTATCTGTAGACTTAGTATGCTCCCCCAAATCATTACAAATTTACAGTTTACTGAAGCCCTAAATTCTCTGTGCACTTGTTTAAACATAGAGGTCTGATCAGCCTTGTGCCCTTCCTCATAGTGTATGTGTTATATATTCTAACCCAGTGCCCCCCCTCCTCACCCCACCTTCCAATTCTGTCTGGAATTCAAAGATTTAGAAGGCTATGCATAATAAATAAGAGGTTGAATTTCAATCTCCAAACATTAATTTCTTCAAACTGGGCTGATGTAACAGGCCACAGAACAGCTGTAAGTCTAAGACCGCTGACTGTTACCTGTGGGAATGAGAGAGTTTCAATGGTGCTGTCGTAGGCAGATCTCAGGGAGGCAAAGTTGACCAAGGTGTCAGCGGTGGGATGCTTCTGCATGCAGTCAGCCATGTTTTTGTACACTGGGGTGAGAATGTTGGTTTTAGTAGAGGTTTTACGGTGCTCGCAACTGCATACGGTCATATGAGTGCCAAGGGTGGATGTCAACAGAGAAATCCTTACAGGGAACCAGACTTACTCTGCTCACCTCTCTAGCTTCAACAGCACAAAGTCTGCTTCGACTATCAAGGCACCCAGGAAGTAGCGGGTCACAAGAGTGACAAACATACAAAAGAAGTAGAAGAAAATGACGATAGTAAGGATTAGGAAAGAAAAAGCAGCAGTTCCCTGTTGTAGTTCAGGCACAGTTATGAGCATAACATTGTTGAATCAGCCCATTTACAATTCTACTGTGCATAAGAACAAGAAAAATACCCCCTTTGGGAAAGGCCTAAAGACACTTCAGTCAGTGGCACCGCCCCAGGGGGAGTGGGGGAGAGAATGTTCCCAAAAAGTGGACAATCTTTTCAAGAAGGCAACATCATTCATATGTAACTCTCCTTCAAGCAGTCAGCCATGTTTTTGTACACTGGGGAGGGAATGTTCCCAAAAAGTGGACAATCTTTTCAAGAACGCAGCAAACCGCGACCTCAGTGCTTTCTTGTCATATCTCCATTTTTTTAAACACTGAAAATGTGACTTCTTCTTGAGTTCACACTTTGTCATGAACTTGTTTTCACTGTTATTAAAAATGGAGATAGGACAAGAAAGCACAGAGGTTGCGAACAGCACTCTTACCTAATTTTCCTTAAAGAAGGAAACAGCACTCATACCTAACTCTCCTCTGAGAAGATAGCCTTATGAACCATCTCATTTGTTCCTAATGTCATTGAGAGGACAGTCAAGGAGGCTTCTGCAGGGAAGACTTCCAAAGACCGTTTTCGTAAAGGGAATTACAAAGAGACATTTTCATGCCGACAAATGCATTTTAGAGCTAAATTCTAAATAACATCAAGAAATATGTAGCTGTGAGATATAATGAAAGATACAAACATAAATGCAAATAAACGTTAACATTTTTCACATTTGTTAGTTTTAATAAGAGTTCTACGGCACTTGCAACACAATAAGGTCATATAAGTGCCGAAGACTAGAGGTGTTACAAAAGAGTAACAAACATAAAAAAGGAGGAGGAGAGATCAGGACGATAGATGTTTTATAGGAAAGAAGGAGCAAACCACACCAGAGCACCCGCCAACCACCCACTTGATGTCTTATAATTCAACAAAACACATTTGTAAGAAAAAGAGAACAATACTATTATCTCACAGATGATATGAAAGAAAGATTTAGTCTGAAGGATTTCTGTAAAACAGTTTTAAGTTTACAAAATATCCGATCTGCAAAAATGAATGCATTTTCTTCTAGAACACTGGAATTAAGTCTTAACAACACTATCTAGAGAACTTTAAGAATGAAGTTGAAGCAGCCTAGGGTGGTTGTGTGTAATTGGCAGGGGCTCTGGTGTGTGTGGTTTGCTCCTTCTTTCCTATCAGACATCATTATCTCTCCTCTTTTTCTGTGTATGTTACTCTTTCCTCTTTTTCTTTATAGGTTACTCTTTACTCTCTCCTCTTTTTCTTTGTATGTTACTCCCTCGTAACACCTCTAACCTTCATCACTCATATGACCTACTTGTGTTCCAAAACTTTTACTACAACTAAAAGTAGCCTTACCAGGGATGAGGATCTCTTTGTGGCCCCAGTAGAATTTCTGTTTGTGGTCACCACTGAAAACACAAAAACACTTCACATTAGAAATTTGCTGAAAAGCAAAAATTTGAAGCACTTTGAACACATTCACCAAATTCTCTTAGCTTTAGTAGGTGTTTTATGGCATCCCCCAACAGAAAAATGGAGATATTTTATACAATAAGACTTCTTCCCTCAAGAATTGAGCTAAAGTCTTGTGTGAACAATGACAAAGAGTCTGTGTGAACAATGACAAAGAGTCTACATTTACACAATCATCACCATTTGCCACAGACATTTCTCAGGTAAATATTGTTTGAAATTGGGGTGTAAGCGCACCTTTAGAATAGGACACATAGCGTGAATGCACCTTTATAATAGTTATAAATTGTGATGTAGGCCTAAAGGGCATATCACGTGACTGACACCTCATGTGATTTCATGCAAGCCGCGGGTAATCTAAGTGTCACTCACTCACTGAATCCGAAACGAGTAACATCGGCTAACCAAAAACTACCAGAAGACGAGCAGGTGGGGGCCCCACCAACCTCAACTGCCATCTACATCTACTACTGCAAGACTCAAGTAAGTCGTAACATAACAGAAAGTTAGAGAATAAAGCAATGTGCTTATGAACAATGGTATCAAGAATCTTTTCCACAAAACTTTGTACTCATATGAAAAAAAAATGAAGTTTGATTTTGAGTGAACTATCAGTCAGCACAATGATGTCTGCCACGATTAGATAACGAAAACAGCAAAAAAATGGCAAGACAGACAAGAACTACTAGAAGAAACAAAAAGCTCAACAGCAGCTAATGCAATGAGCTGTGGAAAAAGACATTATGAAATCCAGTAACTTCAAATATGGTCGCTTTTAAGGACAAGCGGGCTAACCCAGATTTCGGGGGTTTCCAGAAATCTAGACCTACACCAAAAGTGAGAATTGCCCTACCTATAGGAGAAGTTTAGTTTCATTGGTGTGTATATTTGTTTGACAGTACAGAAAACTCTCCTTGTCTTTTAAAGAAACTGAACCAGTGGCAAAAACTTTACCTTCGATTTTCTCAAAACAGCATTTTTCGGGATAGCCCCTTGTGCTTAAAAGCGACCATATATAATGCATGCTATACAATATCTAACATATTAATTGGGTAGGATAATAAGGAAACAATTAAGACAAAATTATTTGTTCCCTTTCCTCTACGACTTTTTCTTAAAAACACCCAACATACGTGAAAGGGTAGATCATGGCAACGACCGAGGGCTTGGAGCGGGAGCAGACGTAGTCAAAGTCCAGCATGCCCTGGACCGCCCGCTGCTGCATGCCCCACACGATGCACTCGGTGGAGGCGCTGAACAAGTTGTACTCCGCTGGGCTGGCCGAGCCTCCGTTCACGCCCGAGGGGGGGGACGTGGCTGCGGTCTTTGACGACGGGGTGCCCTTGTCCTGGGAGTTTCTTCTGCTGGAGCTGGGAGACGGCTGGGGACGAGAAGATAAGACACTAAATGCATGGTCGCTTTTAAGGACAAGCGGGCTAACCCAGATTTTGGGTTAGTTTAGTTTTAGTAAGATTTTTACGATACTTGCAACACAATAAGGTCATGTAAGTGCTGAAGATTAGAGGTGTAACAAGAGAGTAACAACAAACACAAAAAAGAAGGAGGAGACATGGAGACGATAGATTTTTTATAGGAAAGAAGGAGAAAGGGGTTTTCAGAAATCTTGACATACACCAAAAGGGGGCATTGCCCGACCTAAAGGAGAAGTTTGGTTTCATCGGTGTGTATATTTGTTTGGTTATATAGAAAATTCTCCAGGTCTTTAAAAGAAACTGAACAAGGGGCAAAAACTTTACCTTTGATTTTCTCAAAACAGCATTTTTTGGGATAGCCCCCTTGTGCTTAAAAGTGACTAAACAAAACAACATCCACGCAGGTGGGACTGACACTGGCACTGTCATAAAGCAGCAGGATTGGAAGAAACACAATGTAGTATATATATATATATATATATATATATATATATATATAAGTAATCGGGTACAAAATAATGTAGCGCAAGTAAAACATTTTGAGTCTTCATTTTCCCGAATGCTGTTATCCGTTATTAAGTGTTAGTAGTTAGGTTTCACTTGAATAATTTGTTTTAAAAAGGAGGAGGGGCAAAGGAGGTGAGGGGGTGGGGGTAGAAAGTGGAGACGAAAGCAGACGATAGAATATTGCTATAGAACAGGAAAGGAGGTGAAAGGAGACAATTTTAGAGATGAAAATATTTCCCTCGTTACTCGGATTAGAACCCGGGACCTTTGAATGAGAGGCGAACACCTTAACCTCTAGGCCACGAGAGCCCCCCTCACCACAACAGCTTGCAACATTAAACTACAGTACCAGCTGCAAATATTGATCAACTATTCAGCATTGTAAAAATTACAAAAACAAAGCCAGGTGCTATCCATAAGTGAAGGGTGCTGACAAAACGAGTTACTTCTCAGATTCAAGACCTATGCAAAAAGATACGCCACACTCATAGGTAAAGTTTTTTTCAATTTATAAAACTATGAAATAATAAAAGGCTTATTATTCTTATAGAATATGGCACCAATAGAAAATCTATAAATTTGACCCTAGAGTCGATTTTTGGTCCAATCTCCATTTGTGGATAGCCAGAAGTGACTCATTTTGTCAGCACGCCTCATAAAATGAATTTTGGGTCTTAATTACTGCCACATGATTACAGAAATGATAACAATTAGTAAATCTTTTCAGATGATCATGAGAACACAGTATTCAAAAGCACCACCCATACCAGATAACTACCACGAGCTGTTATGTCAAAAACAAAAGCTGTTCTATTCTTCAGACTAAGAACACATGGCTCAGACATAAATGTCAGAGTGGAGAAGCAAACTAAAGAATGGAGCACATCTTTCAGCGCGCGCGCGCGCACGCACGCACGCACGCACACACACACACACACACACACGGAATGAGACCCACCCCCATTAACCCTATAGCACACACACACACACACACACGGAATGAGACCCACCCCCATTAACCCTATAGGAGAAACAGTACAGGCCAGCACACCTCAACTTCTTTTTTTAGTTTTAGTAAGAGTTTTATGGCACTTGCAACACAATAAGGTCATATGAGTGCCGAAGATTAGAGATGTTACAAGAGAGTAACAAACACAAAAAAGAAGGAGGGGAGACAAGGACAATAGATGTTTGATTGATAGGAAAGAAGAAGCAAACCACACCACAGTACCCGCCAACCACCCACGAACAACTAAACAGGATAGCCAAGTGTATGATAAATACCAGTCTTCACCTCAACTTCTAAAAATGGTGCAACCGTCAGAAATGTATAGGAGGACAAAGTAAATATAACACAAAGGGATTCCAACATTCAAACAAAGCCACCAAATGTTACATCATGAAGTATGCATTACAACTTAATCAGCATGCGAGCATTTTTTGTTGAGGACACAAATTGGAAACTAAGACTCTGCGAGATAAAGTCCTTCCTGAAACCATACACATGTGAGGCGTGCTGACAAAACTAGTAACTTCTCGCAATCAAAGAATGGAGATAGCAGCCAAAAATCGACACAAGGGTCATATTTGTGGATTCCAAACCAATGCCACTCTCTTCAAGTATAACAGGTTTTTTTTTATAGTAGAGGGTTTTATGGCACTCGCAACTGCAAAAAGTCATATGAGCGCCAAGGGGTGGGTGTCAACAGAGAAGTCTTTACAGGGAATCAGACTTATTTTGCTCATGTCTCTAGCACAAGGTCTGCTTCAACTATCAAGGCACCCCGGCATACAAAAGAAGTAGAGGAAAATGTCAATAGTAAGGATTAGGAAAGAAAAGGCAGCAGTTCCCTGTTGTAGATCAGGCTTAGTTATGAGCGCGACATGAATCAGCCCATTTACAATTCTACTGTGCTTGAACGAGAAATGTCCCCCCTTTGGGAATGGTCTAAAGACACTACAGTCAGTGGCACTGCCCCCGGAGGGAGAGTTTAACATGTCTTTTATTATTTCATACTAATTATTTGTAAAAACTCAACCTATAAATCAGAAGTATGTATTTCCATCAGGCTTAAGTCCGAGAGAAGTAACTCATTTTGTCAGCACGCCTTACATGTTATGAGTAAACAAAGAGGACAGAGGGCAAACAGCTTGGGTCCATGCATGCTACAGGGACTGAACATAAAATGGCAGGGCTAAGAACATTCCTGGAAAAGTGATGGTTAGGTCGTTCTGCATTCCAAGGATTTCACAGTACTTCTACGTTTAGTTTTAGTAGAGGTTTTACAGCGCTCGCAACCGCATAATAAGGTCATATGAGCGCCAGAAGATTAGAGGCGTTACAAGAGAGTAACAAACATAAAAAAGAAGAAGGGGAGATAAGGACGATAGATGTTTGATAGGAAAAAAGAAGCAGACTACACCATAGGACCCGCCAACCACACACACAGTATTTCTACTCAATTCCCACAAAGAATATCTGCCATTAAAAAAAAACAGTTGTCCAGAGTGTCACGCTACCATGTGAACTTTTTTCATCAATTTGTCAGCAAAAACTACACAATTTTTTAAAGAAATTTAATTTAGAACATTTAGGAGGCGGGCTTCCGACACTGCTTGTCAGGGCCAGCCGGGGCTGAGAGGGATACAACTACATGATACATCCTAGCACAAAGACCGCGAGATACTCAAGGATAAAAATCCTCCCCACCCAGGAACCAAACTTGGGTCTTCAGCGAGCCACAGCCAAATGCCTAACTGCTACACCACAGATGCCAGCCCGAGTTTCACAAAAAATTACTGGTGTCATCATTTTGGATAAGCTCTGGATTTAGGTGAGGATATTCACCTATCTATGAAGCAAAAGAAAAGCGCAAACAAAATTTCCCATTTCCTATCCAATACCAGAATTAGACTGTCTTTTTCTCTGTGACTTGCACAAAACATTTCAGGGCTAACCACTTTGCGACCAACCCTATGTACATGTTTATACAGATACATTTAGAAAGAGAAAAATGAATAATACACCCAAGTCCTGGGGTGTAATATCAATCCACCCTTATTTTGCCCCAGTCTCCAATACAATTCAAAATGTCCAGGAATTTTTTTGTTTCTTTTCCTTTTCAAGAACAGTTAAAATCAAAAGACTGATTAATTTCCATATTCTCATTTTAAAAATTAAAAAATCCAAACAAAACAGGACAAAATTTTCAAACACTGGGTCAACGAAAATATATGATTGTCCAAAATCAACTTACTCAAAGGTCAAACTCAACATATTGAAACCAAAACTTAGGACTGATAAGACAGTAACATCTTTTTATGATCAATAAACCCAATACAGTAACGCCTTGAGAAATAAGTTTATGAATCATTCTCTTTTTACTCCGCAAGTAAGGTTAACTTTCAAGCAAATCCAACACAAGAAACTGTCTATGAGACATCGACACCAGCCTGCCCTCAACATTTCAGAGTTTGTAGATTTCAACCCCCGGCTCAACATGAGTCTCAGAAATTCCTCGCCTCATCTCTTGAATTGTGTTTCTGACCCATGGGCTAGTCAACACACCAGGTTTCACCTCAGCTGTTTCCGGCTAGCTTGTCGCTTATTTCCCACTTGAGAAAAGCAGCTCATAGTATCATATGGCCACCCTCAAGTTTATCGCTCATCCCTAGCTTCACACTAGCTTCAGCTCTCACATATAATATGGCCTCACCCTTATCCTGGCCTACGAAACTGAAGATAATAATATACTTCATCACTGAATTTCTAAATTTGAAGAAAAAAAAATGACATCTTAATCATTATTGTAACTGATTAAACTGTTACTGATTAAACAAAAAAGATTTTCTGTGCCCTTTTTTTAAACTTCACTTAAATCAAAATTAATTTTGCTGTCACTAAATTTGGTCTTTTTGGGCAAACTAGCGACTGTTCAACTGAAACCCGCTCCAATCTTAAAATTCAGCTTCTATAGGCAAAAAAATTGTCCACACTCCAGCTCCTATCTAAAACACTCTTGTGTCGGTAGTACTCTGATATCTCAAGGCATTACTCTATTGGGGGGGGGATCATCTTCAACAGCGAAACAAATGATTAAAAGTAAACTCCTCTGAGTTTGAGTTTTAGTAAAGAGAAACACATCGACATAATGATGGTCACATAATGCACAGACTGAAGAGGCAAAACAGATAGACAGAAACAACAGAGGAAAAGAAAAGAGGTATGACCATAAAGTGGCGTCCTCCAGCCACTCACAAGTAAATTCTTTGTTTAGTTTTAGTAAGAGTTTTACAGCACTTGCAACACAATAAGGTCATATAAGTGCCGAAGATTAGAGGTGTTATAAGAGAGTAAAAAACACAAAAAAGGAGGGGAGATAAAGATGATAGATGTTTGATAAGAAAGAAGAAGCAAAGCACACCAGAGCACCCGCCAACCACCCACCAAGTAAATTCTTAAACTGCAGACATTCTATTCATTTGATCGTACAAGTTTCAAAAGAATAAGGTGACAATGACAGAACCTATTAAGAGTAATATTTAAAAGGAAAAAGTAGTATAACTACATTGTAAAAGGAGTCAGTTATAATTTTAGCCATTCAATGAGAATACCACATGCATCTGACATATAACACCTAGAACCAAACCACAGCTGGAGGAGGGTTAGGAGAAATACAAAAATCTTGGGGAGGGGGTTCCTATAGATCCAACTTTAAATTATAGTCTGAGGGTATGTGATTATATCTGGTAGCATGAACTTAATAAAACATACCAAGAGTCTCAAAATTATGGTAAGCTTTGAGGGTGTGGAAAGTATGGACAAACTCAATCCCAATAACAATGCACCAAAATATTAAAACAGGATTAGTGTGAAATTGATTACCGCTGCAGAGTTCATCTGTAAAAAAAAATTAATTAATTTTTTTGCATTTCATGACACGTGAAACATTCCGAATGGGAATTCATCTGTTTTCAGTGAGAAGCGGGAGCAACTAGTTTAACTATTGAAGTACAAAATTCATTCTCAAGTACAACAAAATCACAGGAAGTACAAATTCATCTCAAGTACAACAAAATCACAGGAAGTACAAATTCATTCTCAAGTACAACAAAATCACAGGAAGTACAAATTCATTCTCAAGTACAACAAAATCACAGGAAGTACAAATTCATCTCAAGTACAACAAAATCACATCTATTACATCTTCTGAAACAAAAACATGAGAGAGACAGAAAAACACACATGCCATAGGAAAAAATGTAGATGTTTTACTCCTCCATCGACACAATTTAGATCATTTAGGAGGTGGGTATCGGACCCTGTCTAACGGCTCGCCTGGGCTGAGAAGGATACAACATCCCAGCAGAAAGACTGAGATATGTGATGAAAATTTCTCCCCACTCGGAGAATGGGGACAGCAAGGTGCCCACCTGCTACACCACAGATGCCGATCATGCCACAGGGAAACTACAATATCAAGTATTACAGTCTAAGAACTTGCCTGAGATTTTGAATCAACTACCGTTGTCCAAGTTTAACGTCCACACAGAAAAATGTTAAAGAATTACTGTTTGTTTCGTTGTTTTGCTCCAGTTTCTGTTCCTTAAAAAAAAAGGAAAAATTTTGAAAAAAGGTTCTAAAAAAGAGAGCTGCCATCCGGACAAAACTTTAAGTCCCATTAAAACTGAAGCCACTCTAGCCAGTATAAATATTAAGTATATTTTCAAAATCGGCATGTTGCTTGCTGCCTATCAGGCAAACGATGATTCTACATTCAAAGTACTAGGTAGATAAAGCGGCTATGTACGGAAAAATCAACTTCATAGTGAGATGAAGACCTTACAGTCAGTTACCCTACTCAGAAGAAGTACAAGTTGTCGTATAGTTTACCAGCTGATGATGGAGACAATCAGCCTGCCCACACTGAAATGGACCCTCATGAAGAGGGGCGAGGAAGCATGGAGCAACCCGTCTTTCAAAGACCCCAGTTCTACATACAAGTATCCAAGTAAGTATCCAAGAAGAAGCAGAAGACTGCCAAAGCTACTTAAGTGAAATTAACAACCTATGGGGGATCTATTCAGGAGCAAAATAAGGAACTCTCGACATCAATATCAATCAAAACATCAGTCATTACAAAATTGTCCCTACTTGCAAGTCCCACAGACCCTTGTCATCCAGAAAACCAAACTCAAAGGTACAGCTCACTGTGTTAAATTTCTACAGCAAGCAAATGGAAAAGCGAAAAACTTAGACTACCAACTGTTGACACCTATAAATCCCCATGATATACACCAAAAGTCTAGTGAGCATATGCAAGTGAGACTACGCAGCTTGTCAAGACTAACAAAAATTCTAAGGGGAAAAAAAAATGCTACCAGAACAAAGCTGAATGCAATAACTTTCTTTGGTGCCAAAAGCAATCTATATATTAGAATTACTACTACAGCGTGAAGGGAAATCATTCGCAACAACGTCCATGCCTCCAGCAGTCATCTACAACACTCAAGCACAACTGACAACCAAAGAGGAATTCTTTTTTACAAAAGTTCACATGAACATCAAAGCACAATGACAGTCAAAGTGAAAAGAGTACATCAATTAATACAAATGTGAGGCGTGCTGACAAAATGAGTTACTTCTCGGATTTTAGCCCGATGGAAATAGATGTGTCAAATTTATAAGTTGAGCATTTTCAATTCATTAGTTTGAAATGATAAAATACATGTAAAACTTTAAAAGAATGGCATTGGTTTAGAATCCATAAATATGACCCTTGTGTTCATTTTTGCAGATATCTCCATTCTTTGATTGCGAGAAGGAACTCATTTTGTCAGCACAGCTCACAAATACACAAGCTATCAATGCAGCAATGGAAAAACGCAAGCACAAGACATTTACCTGGCGTCCCTGCTGGTGTAAGAAAAGAAGGAAACAAAGATGTAGCTGTTTATAGAGACAGTGTGTGTGTGTGTGTGTGTGTGTGTGTGTGTGTGTGTGTGTGTGAGTGTGTGTGTGAGTGTGTGTGTGAGTGTGTGTGTGTGTGTGTGTGTGTGAGTGTGTGTGTTTAAGTGTGTGCATTTCTATGTCTGGAAGAGAAAGTACATGCATTTGATCTTCAAATGCATGATGAATTGGGGTGAAATGAAGCATGGCTACCAGAAATCTTCCTGAAAAAAACTGTCAGTTCAAAGATCATTTACAAAACTTTACAAAATCAGTAGACATCAAGTTAAAGGAA